TCTCAGAGGAACACCAAAAACCTGAATAAGTCTTCCTGGTACTCCTGCACTTAATATAATAGCAGTCTTACTTTGGCATGGTTTGGGTGTCCAGAAGAACAATTCTGAATTCTGGGGGATTTATTATTCCATTGTAATCACTCCAGATTTTTAACACTGTCACATGGATTAATAGTGAAAATTGGAACCATCTAACCATACACATACAAGTGTCTCAGCAGGTTTAGTCACAATGAAAACAGAAGAAGGTTAAGGCAACAGAAGACAAAGCTAAAGAAATGTAATATACTCAAAACATAGGAGTAACCTTGCTCTGTCAATGCTGTGCAACTAAATATTCTGGTATCTTGTTTTAGTTTATTGATTCAGTTAAACAGTCTTCCTTTTTCCTTACACAATTTTAAGCTTCTGTCTATAGTCAAACCACCTGAGTACTGCTCAAGGGGCTGTCTTGTATGCTGGGCTACACAGAGCCCAGTTAAGGATCCTTTCAAAAAGAAAAGGATGATACAAAGTGAGAGGGAAAAGAAAAAAAAGGCAAAAGCAGAAATGATGCAAAGATAAGCTTAAGAGAACAGGAAAGAAAAATATGAGGAAAAGAAAGAGAAAGCTTTTCAGAAGTGTTTCTTCAAAAGAAATGATGTTTGCTACTCAAGCAAAGACCATGGGAAAATTTTTCATCTTTCTGACTAAATGATAACCTATAGCAAAAGCTCTTTTGAAGATCCAAACAAAACCAGAACATGATTTCATTTCACATTTCTACCAGCATTGCATTGGGAGGGATGAACTGAAAGGATGGAGTGCCCATCCCAAGGGCACTAAAATTCAGAGAGGTTGAATCTAGACTTATATATTCCCCAACAGGCAATAATCAGATAATTCAAGGAAAATTAACCCACAGGTGCCCGTAGCAATGTGGTTATGAACAGATGTTTTCTTTAACTCCAGCTAGGAAATGTGGCACCATTTACCAAGTGCTCTTTGCTATCTATAATGAAGGTTATCACTGGACAAGTCATCTGCCCAGTAACAGAGCTGGAAAAGATTCCACAATTCACTGAAGGCAAAATCCAGGTGCATTCACACTGCCAGCTCAAATAGTTTGAGATAGTGGTACATCTTGTGTGTAGCAAATTAGGGAGTTCTCCCACAGAGCTGACAGAGGAATAGTGGGTGATGGGTCTGACAGTGTGGTACAAGGAGCAGATGGAAACATCAGCCTCTTCCAGCAGCACAGCTAAACATGGGGATTGTCAGGGGCTGTGTAAACATAAGAGCAAACTGCTGCGTTTCACTGGCACCTCTGATGCTGCAGGACAGGCTTTCACATTCCAACTCTCATAGAAAATGAAAAGGCAAAAATAAAAAGAATGTAATGCTGTCACATATTTCTCCAAGGCAAACCAGTCTAGAGTTAAAAAAAAAAATAACAAAAAGACCCCCTCTCCTTTAAAATCTTTCTACTTGTTCTGATTTATCCTGCAGAGAAATCATAATCCTGCAACTGATGAAACCATAGCAGGTTACCTTGGTAACTGTACCTCAAATTCAGTTTTAAGAATTCAGTTTTAAGAATACACTCAAAGGTCAGACTGCATGAAAAGTTAAGGTTAAGGAAGGTGTAATTCACACTGAAAGGTAAAGTGCAGGAAAAAACCTTGCCACCGATACTTCCCATTGCAAAGATCCCAAACAATAAATATAAACATGTTTGGAAAAAAACAATCACAGGATGTCAACACTGAGAGTGCAAATATAAGTCTACCTTAGGAAGCTCTGAATCTATGTTATAACAACATCTGTAGCTATAGGAATACGCTATTGCATCAAAAATGTCATAACATTTTCTATCATCTAAAACGACCATGTGTGCATTCTTTGAAATCTTTTTCATTGCCAGATGCTACAAAAAAACCTGTATTAAACCATTCAAGTTCACTAAAAGAAGCAAAAAATTTAATCCTATACTTTAAGTCATACTTTTCGATGTTTTTGTCAAAACCCCATGTATTCCTTTTTCTTACAAATGACATCACAAATTTTCTTCGGATCAACTCCAGCACTGAGGCAATTTCAGAGTCAAAGATCTAATTGTGCCCATACATTTCAAGCATTAAAGAAATACATTATTCTCAAATCATGGTATAATACATAATAGCAAACTATGGCAAGCTTTTCACTTATGTCATGTCTGTGAGTTTTAAGTAGCATAAAATTCTGTTGTTTTGGAAACGTATCTATGGGTGTGCACACAGCGTGATTTTATATCTAAGCAAATGCTATGAACTCATACAACCAGACTTCAAATGTAGAATGGAGCAAAATTAAGGCCAAATTTATAACTCTAAACTTGGAATTTCAACCTCTATGTAGGTGCTTCGCAGAGGTGCACCCGCAGGGCTTCATGTTAAATTTCATGAAGGATGCAGAAAAAACCAAACATATAAATCCACACACTCATAGAGAAGTCAAGCATGAAAAATTCTGAGCCCAAAAGCAATAGTTTTGAAAATCATTAGGCAACCAACTTTGACACACACCTGGACAGTTCTTCAGAAAGCTCCATCTTTAAAGTTAGTCCTATAAAAGAAAGTAATTTTAAAAGGCCTCCATTTCTACATGACCTCAAAAGTCCTGTGAGCTGTCAAAGGTATTCCACAATGCTCTCCTGAAAACACCATTAGGAAATGATGCCTTCTCCTCAAAAAGCAGAACATGAAAACAGAGCAGTCTGCCCCACAAATCTCCTGCAGTTCTCAGGTGATGGGGTGTTGCAGAACTTTCAGGACAGCTCAACAAAAGCACTGACTCTGCTCTTACAGAAGGGCACTTCTATTGATTCAGGAGAAATAGAGAAGACCCTGAAATGAGGGGAAAAAGAAAAATTTATTCCATCACCATAGAATCTTGATATTCTTTGTGACCTTGGTCCATCAGCTCCAGAAGTCAACTTATCAGCTGGATGAGACCAATCTATAATTTTCTAACCATTACAATTATCATTATTGCTTAGCAAGAGGTATCTCTCATTCCATCTGATGACTGCTTATTCTAGTACTTAAAATGAAGTAACTTTTTTTTTCAATTATTTTTTTGTTTGTTTGTGACCTACAAGCTCTAACCAATATTTCATTTGACTGTGTAGGTCATGAGTCTGAATCAAAGCTAAGAACACACTTTTTTGAACCTAGGATGAAAGACATAAATGGACTGGTGAAATCCATTTCATGGCTTATATGGAATAACAGAAGGCATGCTCAGGGGATTGAAGAGAGTCAAGGAAAATCCGTAAACACTCACGTTGCTAAACATGTCAGAAAGCATCCCAAAATAATGATCCTAAATAATTATGCTAAATCATACCTTTTTCCAGACTGAGCAGGGAGGTCTGGAAATCTGAAATTTTGTTCCATAACTATGAAATACAGATAAAAACCATGACATGCATGTCTGTGTATGCATTCACAAAGTAACTTGGGAGAAAGTTTGGGTAAAAGTGTATTTACCACCACTACTACTACTACTTTACTTGCAAAACATTTACCATACACACACTGGACTTCTGTTAACAATAGCAGAGAAGCCTGTTAGTACCAGTGGAAAGAGAAAGGAGTTAGGTACTAGAACAAATACTCAATTTTTCTCTTTTAGCCAGAAACAGCATGCTTGGGTTCACTTTCTAAAGATTCTTTCCACTTGAAAACTACATCTACCTAACTGTTAAATATTTGTACCTTCTTCTCTAAGAAAGGTATGAAAAATGTAGAAACCTGTGTTGATGCTTTGCCCCTGCAAGCCTTCACTGGAAACAGTGTCATACATCTCTCCAACACTACAGGGATACCTGTCCAGGAGATGGAAACTTAGAGAAGCAAAGGGATAAGGAGTACTCTGCTCTCTGAAGTATTCACACACAAAAAAGTCCAACACATCTGACACTGGTTAAGAAGCAATACTATGACCAAAATCTGTTGCACAGAACTCACCAGGGCTACGTAAATGTTACACAGCTGTAAAAATAATTTTAATTTTTATGTAAGAAAGAAATTACAAATGAGGACCAATATCTTTTAAATCCTTTGTAAAAAATGATGTCATTAAATTCAGGGGGGAACATGTAAAGAAAGATAAAGGATAAAATGCATAATTAAAAAAAAAAAAAAAGCCCACATTATACAAAGCTCCATAAATAAAAGTAGTTGAGTTAGGTTTTGAGTTCTTTTGGGGGGGGTTAACCAAGAGTGGCACAATGTTTGGTCCTGATTTTCTAAAATTTGGACTACTACCATTATCACTAAGGAGCTGTTGCAACACACTTGCACACCAGAAAATCTCATCAGATTTATTAAGGAGATCTAATCTATTCTTTGAGAAGCAAACATGAATAAGCCATAGGAGAAGACCAGAAGATTTGGTGACAAGGAACCACTGTGGACAAAATTTTCTTCGCCTCATCTCACGGAATCACTCTACTTAGCTTTCAGTATTGACACAGACTGACAACTGTATTCAGGTAAAATGAATTTTTGCAAATCAGGACACAAAAATCAGTATATCACCTCAGAGAAGTGGAAGTGTTTACAGGAGAATGACACTGATACAGAATGTTCACTCTTTCTGTTGTGGTTTTGAACCCATGACACTTCCTTACAAGTTTCCTATGGGGTAAGACACAATCCAATTTTTTTTCCCTCAAAATAGTACATTGAAGTGAAATCTAAATTAAATTAAATTACAACAGCCTTCAAAAGAAAATGTTGTAGTTTCAAAAGTTTTACATTATAGCACAAAAGACTGGGCATGATAAGCAATCTGAGCACACAACGAAGATGTACGTTGATAAACAGCCTTCCTACAAGAGTGCAAAACCTTGCTATTGGTACTCACATCAAAGATACTATGGAGTCTTCTCTAGATCATTTTTCTGTAACCTTTGTTATTTTTATTTACTCTGATCAATGATTTGAAAAAAAAAAAGGGGGGGGGGGATTGCTTACCACCTGTATGCAACACCTTGCAGTCTGCTGCTGAAGGGTCATTTTGATCCTCTTTAATGCTGCTGATGTTGTCTTTTTCAAGCAGTCTGTCCACCATGGCAATAACACAGTTTAAACTCTTTGCCACGTTGGCCCACACCCTGTCCTGAAAAGAGCAGAATTATCACTGCATGTTACTGAAGAAAAAAACAAAGAGACGATAGTAACTTATAAAGTGGAGGCAGAGATGAGCAAATTATTAGAATATTGGGTGGCAGCATATTACCCTTTCTCTCATTCTTCAGCCTATTATCAAGCCTTTTACATGAACTTTTTTCTTGCAGTGTAAATGAGCTGAAACTGTTTGGGTTTTCAGACGCTGGAGAGCACATGTGCTTCAACCTCTACATGAAAATGCACACAAAGTTTCAGGTCTAACCCCAAGGAACTGAGCGGTTTGTCCATCTGAAATAATACTGTATGAGTGTAGACACTCAAAGCCTTGTCAAATCAAATCTCATGTGGAACTGCCAGTTTTGTCATAGTACTTAGCAAGCTCTTTTTGAAAATTTAACATATCCTATATTTTATCACATTAGTTACTCTGTTGAAGCAAATGTAAAATTCAAGGACTAGAATGAGAAACTTGTTGTTCAAGGCATGTTTATCAGTTAACACAATTTCAATTTCATTCCTCACCTCTCACACAAACTGCAACCATCACACTTAAATGAATTTATAATAAATACGAGAAATACAGAAGTAATAGAGTGATAGAAGAAATTCTGTATGAACAGAGAACAAAAGAGATAATGTGGAGTGAAAGAAAGAGTTGTTGTGGAACAGAGACACAGGAAGGGTCTTTCAGGTGCCGGACGCTGCAAAAAATCAAGTCTCTTGCTCTGACTTTTGTGGTGCTGAAGAAGAAGGAAAAAAAACCCCGGCCACACAAGAAATGAAGCTTTGCCCAAGACTAGCAATCAGACTAAAACCAAACCATGAAACCCCCCCCCCCAAAAAAAACACAAAACAACTCCCATCTACATGCTTTAATTCTGAGTCATTCTGAAAACAATGCAGAGCAACCAGAGTTCACTTGAAGCTTAGAAATGGGAAGATAACATCACTACTTTGCTTTCTATTTTACAATACCAGGAGCATTATGTATATGTCAGGTCTTGAGGCGCAAAAATGGAGTTGCAAAAGACAACAAGAGAGAAGGTTAAATAAAACTGAAAAAAAAAATTGTAATTCCATATAAATGGCAACACTTGGAATTTGTGGCAAGGTAAATCAAGAACTACTACTAAGACAAACATTTAATCTAAGATTACTTTTTAACTACATAGCACACTTTGGTCAGTGTCCTGACTAAAGGAATCTGAGGACACACCCTGCGACAAGGGGGCATTCTGAATTCAGGGACATCACATGGGGCTGCAGACAGAAGCATGGACTTGGCAAACCTGTACAACAACACAGATCCTGTCCTCCAGCTCCCCATGTTGGAATCTTGCAGCACTCTTGTGGGGTTGCCTTTCAGACAACAGCATCTAGTGTTACAGGCGGACGTAACAACTATGGTTTGATCTTCTACCTGTATAAACTCATGCTTTAACCACACTATGAAAAAGATACTGTTGATTTACAAGAGGCAAGAAGCTGTACACCCTCATGTAGAACTGCATTTAATCCACAGTTATTTAATTTTTTTTTAAAGTACTATATGTACAGCGCAACATGTGGAAATACCTGCACCTGTACACATGAAACAAACCATTAGACACAAGAATATCTGATATTCACCTGCCAAGATTCAATTTAAAGTCAAAAGACAGAGGACAGGTGTATATATATACATATATTATATTATATATAATATATATATAATATATATATATATTCCTTCAAAAGTTTCATACTATATATACACCTCAAGTGTTTCTGAAAGACATTTAGAATATGGGTGAAATTACTGATTTCCACCACCCGCAAGTATTACTTTGGGGAGAAGGATTCTATGAAGAGCAATGAAATACTGCGAACAGTAAAAAGTCTGGGCCCAAATATCAGCAGGTTTTACCAGAGAACAGCAGGGAACTTCAGGGCTTCCAGCTGAAGTTTCAGCTAGAGTTGCTGAGGTAGATGAACTCAAATTGCTCAGCATGGCTGCAGCCATGTAATTTCCCTTTCCTCTGTCTGCTGAGGGAGCTTAATACCAACACAAAGAGCATTAAGCTCTTAATGAGCATCTGGAGTTATTGCACAAACAACACAAATATGAGCCCTTGTTTCATTTTGGAAAGAACACTCTTCTCCTTTCAAACCAACTATTAACCCAGCATTGAGATGATCTCTATACAATATTCACACAAACATTCCCCGAGGGTTTAGAAGCAAAATTCATAACCATCTGTTGACAGAAAGCTCACTCTTATTATCGTATATCTGGTTTTTTTACATATGGGTAAGTGAGAGGGAGCAAGGGCCCGTCCCACAGCTCTTTTTCTCCCCATAGGAGGTTCCTGGGATTAGAAGTTATCATTATAGGTAGAGACAAAAAGTAGATGTTTCTATCATTCACTGAGATGTTATTCTGTCTGCACAAAGGCAGCCACATTTTTCTAAGAGGGCTGCTCAAGTTCAGCAGTCTGGAAAGAACAATTCTCAAGCAAAAATGCAGTTTCCAATAAATGAAAATCAAGTGGATTTCTATGATTCTCCATGGACAAGAAATTAACCCATTTCACATTCTTTGTCATCCCTTACTATTTCCAGAATGTTTTCCTGTAGTCTAGCACACTTTCCACCCACCTTTCATCTCCTTAAGAGGTTCTATTTTCATTTTGCCTCAGAACAACCTCACAAGTGATCACTTTGCAGCATGTGCCATGGTAAAGGACAAAACAGCCAGATACAGCCTCACCAGTAAGCATTCTTATAAACTCTCTATGTGAAGTGAAAGATCAGAAGAAAATAGGTCTTATTTCTTGATACACTGAAGTACTAAGACCCTAGTTTCCTAAGCAGGATGTGTCTCCTCTGATACCAGGTTTACCAATAGCTGCTGGAGAGTTAACTGGATAGTAATTTTAATGCTGCGGTGTGAAAGAATGAGAGAAATAAGGTCTCTGGCTCTCTCTCATTGCTGTTTCTTTAAGCTCAAAATTCAAGGCAATGACAGGGAAGGTGGAAATCTGTAACAGGACTTGACCCCATTGAGACAAGGCAATGGCACACTGACATCTTCTACTTCTTCCAAACTTTAGAAACCATTTGGGATGGTTAAGCAGTCCTGGCACATGCGGCTTTGGCGTTGCTAGTTAGAAATGGTCACGGTCACACTTCTATTGCCACCTCTGCTGTGGCACTGGCAGGCAGGCATGCACACTTATAAAGGTCTCCATGAAAAGCTAGGGTTTGGTATCACTGCAAGCTGGGCACTGTTCCTAGGACATTTAAAAACGAACCTGTAAAATAATTCTCTTTCATTCACCCAATTGAAAAAAATGTAATAAATCTCCATCTGCTCTGATAGCATTGTTAAAAAGCAATACAGGTTCCTCATTTCAGAGGGCGGGAGTGGAAACTGTTTTCTGTCACTGCAGCTAACTGGATGTCTCCCTCCTAAGCACTGCCAGTCAGTGGAGTCCCTGAGGCCATCTCTTTGTTTTTAAAGGATTCTCAGGTTTTCTAGGTTCACTACAGAGCTCCTCAGTCACTTCTTGTCTTTCCATACACACCACTGCAGTTGTATTCTTTACTTGTGCCAAGTAGGACACAGCAACTGCATTTCCCAGTGCTCTAAAGATACTGTCTCCTTTGTGTGGGTTGATAGTCATATATTACCTCATGGTCCTTTTGAGGTATGTTCATAGATAAAGCAAATATCTTAACTTATGCGCCCGAATAAGCCCCTCTTGTGATACGGAAGTGCTTTGGAATGGAACATATCACACACACATCAGTATTTCAGAGCAGGGACTGATCACCGTGTCAGTATTTGCACGCAGCTTATTGGAAATGCCATTTTATCTGTTCTTTGTAGCTCCAACCACATTAACTAGTCAGTCAAAAATGTAGAGCAGGATCAGCTCCAAGTGGCAATGTGCCCACCTTTTCTTGTATTATACACGGCAACATGCTTTGTGCCCTCCTGCAGGGAGGTTCTAGGATAGCAGAAGCAGCTGGTAAGAGAAGAGAATATCTATCTAGAGGCAATCTAAAACTCTCAAGTTAAATATTTTTCCTTCAACAGTGATGTTTTACTGCTGCCTACACATAGTGCAGCAATACAAATAGCTCAATCTGTACTGCAGTCAGTTCCTCTGAGATGAATATTTGTACTTTGTATCAAAGAAAAAAGGTGCAACACACTGTTGCTATTGAGAAGGCGGGTTTTTTTGAAAACACTCGTCACTCAGGGAAAGGGCACCCTGTCAGTTAAGAAACTATTCCTCTAAAGATAAATTTGGATGCCAGAGAAGGGGGTGGATCTCACTTAGTTTTTAAACACTGCCTTGAATTCACTTCTGTGACGGCCATAAGGGAACACAGTCACTGGAAGTGGATGGAACAGGGTCAGCTTAAAGAATTGTTTAAAGATTTAGATCTCAGGCAAAACTAAAATTTGAATCCCATTTGTGAAATACAAGCTTGATAATGAGAGAAAAAACCATGACAGCAAAGGAGGATGCAGTACTCTGCATACAAAGCAACTTATCCATTTTTCCCTTTATAGTTGACTTTCAGCGTGGATTAAGCATTTCTTTCAAATTTTACATGCATTTATTCTTTCTCTTTTCATCATGCTCATGATAATTTGATCATTAAAACTCCCATTATTCATCACCTCCATTGACAAAAAGAACTGAAAACTATCTGAAGTCTAATCTTTCAAATTCTGAGAAAAAAAACCCACAAATTTTTCTAAGATTTATACTTTCTCAAGTTTGACAGTGACTCTCATTCAGTTTAACTCAGAAAATACAGAAAGATACACTTAATTTTTAATCAAGAAGGTAACCTTACTAATCCAGCAGAAAAAACATATATTTTAAAATTATGTGCCTCTAGGTTTTAATAGATGAGGACGAAACGCCTGGCAGAAATTTGTTTTTTAAATCAATAAAAAAACCCCCAGTAATGCTATCAAAGAAGCTAAGCTGAAGAAAACTATTAAAACCCAACTTGTAAAAAAATGCTGCTTTTTCCAATGCAAAATGTCTCCCTTTCATGAAACGTGTTGTGATGTTTATATGTCTGAATGTTTCAACAGCTGGAAACACCATTTTGGCTTTAACTTCAAGGAAAGAAGCACCATTCTAGCTCCTCAGGTTGTTGAGAAAACAAGAAAAACTGAATTCAAGACTCTAAAACCAGAGGACAAATAAAAGAATGAGTTGTTTATTGTTTAAATCTCATGACTACTTAATGCATGGGGTTGGAAATAATTGCCTTTTCTCTAGAAGAAATATATTCTTCTTCCCTTATTTGTGATATGGATAAAAACCACAGTTCAGGTGAAAGTATTGTAGCTCACACAAGTTATTAATTATTTACAATAGAGATGAATATGCTGGCTTCCTTTACATTTATGAGAATACAGTGATGAACTCATACTTTGAGTCTGAACTGAATAAAAATAGCTTGAGTGTGTATGTAACAAAGCAGCAGATCTATTACATCCACCAAAATAATTAATCTACATAATCTCAGTCATATAAATAATTCATATCTTTGAAAGATATGCTAAGAATGTTAAAAGCTATGTTTAGTTCTTTTACACAATCTCAGATATCCTCTAAGAAGAGAGGCGAAGGGAAAAGAGCCCTGTTTTGCTGAGGGTTAATTCATGTGTATTTAAACTGTTTACAGCCTGAGGGTTGAGAAAGAAACAAACATTTCCCTCCTTAATAGCATATGCTGTTCCAGTCTCCTTAAATCTCCCCAACTAGCAAAAAGAACTCAAGTAAGAGCAAAGAAAGACTACTTTTCTGTCTAGGCAAGAAGATATTTATTGTCCTCACTGTTATATGCACAACCAAGCAGTCCCACAGCAGCACTGCACTTAGGAAAATCCTTACAACTGAGTTTCAAAATCTGCAATGCATCCAAAAAATATGATTTCATGGTTTTGCGCTCCTTTCCCCTCTGCACTAAAAAGGACACTTTTTTATGCTGATTTGTAGGGTTTGGGATTGAACACCAACCAAGAGTTTCTGACTACTTACCCACTCTTCTTCATCATACTCAGAATGATGTGGTATAGAGTCCTGCCTTTTAATCTGAGAAGGATGATCCTGGTGCTGTGAATCACCCCCTTCTTCTGCACTGTTTCTAGGCACAGCTGGTTTCTTGAGGACACAGCCAGGCCGGGCTGTGTACAGTGCTAAAAGGGCACTTCTGACCAGTTGATCCTTGAATGCATGCACAAATAACTCCGTCTAAGGGGAAAAAAAAAAAACAACAAACAAAAAACCATGAAAAGTTTAGATCAAAGAATGGAATACTGCAACCAAAGTGGTATAACACTGAATTACTCTTGGAAAGAGTGGGTATTTGTTTCAGGCTGGTCTGAGAGGCAGAAAACAAAGTAGGCAAATAAACAATGAAGAAAGGTTCAGTGATGTTAGGGACATCATCACATTCTACAATCCCAGTGTTCTGAGGATTAACTCAAGAGTACAGTAATTGTCATAGAGATCATAATCTTCTCACATTTTATTCAAGTTCCAAATTTCGCCTGCAGAGATGAGCCTTCACAAGAACCAGTTCCAAGAGTAACCAACCACTGCTCAATAATTTCAGGGTAAGTGTCAGACAAAATGAGATTAACAAATTCAAGGATCTTCTTAACTAAAACCCACCATGCTTCATTGCTGAGATTGCAGTATCTGCAAAAGCAGTCTTTCCAGAGATAAACTTAAGTACCTGGGTATCAACCCAGCCAGCAGGCTAGGCAACAACACCTGATTTCTAGCTTTATTTTTTAAAAAAAGCACATCCTGAAGTAGTTTCTTCAAGTGTTCTGAAGATGTTATTCAATCACTGTATAATTTTTCCTAAATCCATCTTGATGACTGTCACAACTGGAGTTTTTAAAACCCTTCAACCTCCCTGTCTTATTTATCTCCCACCCCAACAAGAAAAGCAAAATGCTTTCTGCATATAGTCTCTACCATCTCTAGGTTACCTCACCATAACAGCAAAGCCACAGTGGCAAACAGCTGGGGAGAATCCTGATTTTGGTTAATTTAACAACTTTCAACAGTTCATCTGTCAGAGTGGAGGGAGCTGCTATACCACATCCAACACATCCTATCCAGCCTGCCAGAGCTCCTTTCCCCAGTGAGAAACCCACGTTCACAGGGGATGATGAAACACAATTACATATTTCTTTCACAGCACAATCATCTGAATTTATTTATTCAGAGTCAGTTGCCTTCCTATTTTCCCAGGACATAGTGGATCGTCACGTGCAGGTAGATTCAGATGCTGAAGTGCCTTTATGCACACAATCTTAATTAAACAGGCATGTGAAAAGTATGTAAGTAAGAGTCAGAGGAACCAGGCTGAACAAGCTGGCACACAAAGCTAGGAAATGCTAGAAATAAAGGTTGCCCAGTCAAACTTCATGCAGCCCTCACATACTGCTTATGCAAAACCTGAAGAAAATGTAGCAAAAAAAAAACCCCAAACCATACAAGTTTCAAGTGTCATCATCTCTCTTCTTGGAAGTCTTGCTCCTAGTCTCTTCACTGCTTACTTCTATTCTTATTCCATCCCTTTTTCCTACTACTGGCTCCTCTTTTGTACACCTCTACTCCTACTCAACTTATTTTTCTTGCTTTCCTGCCTCAATAACCCCCTCAAAAGTTTACTGATATTTAGACAATGCTCTAAATAGGTGATGGTTTTCTTCAAGCTCCAGCTGGGTCAGGTACTTGCTTGAGAAGTTTCTGCTTTTTCCCATTTTCATTACGTTTAGAAAAAAAGTATTTTTTATTGTGGAAAGGCTGAAAACTTTTGTTGCAACTGAATTTCAGAGGCTTTAAAAATAAGAACCTCAGACATATTTAAGCTACAATTTTTTAAAACCAAATTCAGGACTTCCTTCAGACCCGATCTGGGTGCCTGAGTTTTTAGGGGTGCTTTTAAAGGGTTTTCGTATATGTAGCCCTTCAGGGTTGTCTCCTGGTAGTCCTGAATTGCACCACAGAACAATTTCAGTTTGCTAAATTTCCAGCCTCCACGTGATGCATGCTTGGAAAATAAATAAGTCTTTGGGGAGTACTGCTAGTAAATCATATCATTCTTTTCTTAAGAAGAGGTAAAACATCTTCAAGACTCTAATTTTGAAGTTCCATATCCAGAGAGTCAAAACTACATTACTTGTCTATCCTAAGAAATGGCAACATCATGATTTTACAGAGGTTTCATGCCTCCTCTTCACCTCAAAGTCTACTTGAGATCATTTCAGGTCTCTGCATCAGGCATGGCAGACTCAAAAAAACATTACATTTCAGAAAATGGTGAGCATTGGACAACTTGACTTAAAGCATGTCCACTAGGAATGCAATGTGCATTAGGTAATGATCTGAAAAGTTTAAGTAATATAATTTAATACAAATACTTTATAGGGAAAATTAATTTTTAAAAGCAAATTGGTACAGAAGTGAACCTCCATTTTTTTCATAGAGGCTAAAATGCTCCATAATTAAATTCCATTCAAGGATCCCATTGGTTTAACAGCATTTTACATTTTAACTACATTTTCTAACAGCTCAATACAGCTAACTTTGCAGAACATCACTATTTATAAAATTGCATCGAAATCACAAAACAAGTCTATACAAAGAAATGAAAACTTTGCAAATTCTTTTAGACACTCAACTAAAGAATATTTCTGCAAACAATGATAGGCATAGCTGGAAAATGAATTTATCAAGCCTTCTGCAAGCTGCAAATGCTGATACACTTGTCGACAGCTAAAGGCCTCCTTAATCAATTAACACAAAGTGATGATAAAAGGTTAGTCTCAGGAAAATACTATGGTAAATTGCAAATTATATAGAGAGAAGTAAAACCATGCTTAATGTGAGGAAATAAGCTCAATTTAAGAAGCAGAAGTGGAATTATTTAATTTTCCACTTTCAATCCATGCATCTAGTCATTCCATTTCTAACAAATACTTAAATACAATTAACGTTACTGATATACTCACTGCTACCTGACACTTTTAGAATTAATTATTCTGTATATCAAGCTTAACTTCACCTTAAAAATGGTGATATGCTTTTTAATAAATTTCTGGAATTGAATCACCAGGTAAATAATTTTTATAACTTCTTCAAACAGCTGTTTAACTTCTAAATTTCTATCAAGTTAAAACGTAAGAGCATTTCTTTTTTACATATAAGAAGTGTGGGAAAGATGGAAGAGCAGCAGCATTTCACATGACTCAGGAATACAAGTAGGCATCAGATAATTCTGTTCAGCACAGCACGTGCCACTCGGTCTTAAATATAATCAGGGACACTCTGTTAGTCTTGGTTCTTTTATACTGATGTACAGATTATATAGACAGATTATGTTAGGACACCAAGATAATGCTTTGTACTAACTATGAGGGATCTAATTGCAGTATCATGTAGGTTCACTGAATCTGGGGGTTTGAAATGCTATTTCCTTTCCCTGAAGTTGTTTTTTGGTCTTTGCTTTCCTCCCCATCTCTCTTCCCTTCTTTACAAAGGGCTGTCCATCCACACTTGCTTCCTTAACAATGGTCCAACCCTATTATTTCTCCATTATCCGTCTTCTCCTCAAAGCAAATTTGGGAATAGACAGGGAAGCAGGTATTGAATCATTCACGCAGTAGTTGTTTGGACAATTGGATTAATCTCTTCCAAGCAAAAGGTGAAGGCTAGATAGACATCCATGCACTATACCAGGTGAGACTCCTCCTTTTGGGAAACTGTGCTCATATTAAATTCTGGCCCTGAAGAGCTGATATGAATATACACAACTAAATCACCAGCAATAAATGTAAAAAATATCTGTGACTTTTGAAAACTGAATGGATTGTCTTTTTTTGATCCTTTTATCTAGTCAGACTCTCCAACAAAACGTGGTTTAAGCAGCGGTTTAGTTTCACAGCTGCCTGCAGCCACTCTGAAATCATCCATTCTTCATGCCCAGAGAGGCAAATGGCTACAGCTAACACACAAATTCCTTAGCAACCACACTTTGAATCTTCAGAACAAACACTTTGTCTGATTTGCTTTACCTGTGCCTATATATTTAACTAACCACTAACAGAGCAGTTCCACTTGTTCTATGCACAGCTAAAAACAGCCTCCTACATGGAAAGGTACACTGTAATTGCCGCAATCTCCCCATAATTTCCTCTGTTTCGTTTCCAGGCTGAATTCTGCTTTCCTATATTATCCCTGACATTCACAGTGACCCCAGTGTTCTCAGAGCTACTGTGGATTTACAAATAACTCAGAGGAATGTTTCTTTGCCCCATGGCTCCAATGCCATGCACCTTCACAGCGTGTGGCTGAGCTCAATGTTCAGATTGGAAACTCTCCCACTGAACAAGGTACTGCTGGGATAATGGTGCTCAACAGACCACAAGGGGTGTCACTTCCCACTAGCTGAAGATCGATTGAAATGGTTATCAACAGTTTTTTAAGACATCATGAGATCACAACACAGAAGGGATGGCCCATGAAATAATGGAAAACTTTTTCAACCTCTCAGGCCATAGCTATACTGCTTAATATCTTTAAAGGATAACATATTCCATATGCTTAAAAGTACTACAGGCTTCAGCTAATCTCCAGTATCTGTCTCTGAGACAGGCAGAAGATATTATCTCCCTGAAGTTAGAACTAACGAAACTAAGATGAGGAAAAGCCTACAGCTATAGAGGAATATAACATGAGAAAGAAAATTAAAATTTAAGACCTCTTGGTGCCAACTTCCTAGCTTCTTCCAAGCTGTATCACCATTTCTGATCATGCTATTATTCTAAACCTTATGCACAAAACCTGGCTTGAACTATCTCCCACAAGCAGCAGTTTGAAGTATCACAGAAAGAGAATTCAAAATAATGATTTATCATACCAAAGAACTATTTATAATAAACTATTTTGATAAACCCCAGTATGTGGCCACTTGAGGACAAAAGAGACATATGAAATTAAATTAATTATACTTTTAAATAAAGACAATCTTTATATATTTCATTGAATTTCTACATAGAAAGCCTACAGAAACGCTAAATAACATTCTTTTTCTAATAGCAACATTTTAAAGCTTATTTTAGCAGAGCTTATTTAACATTTCCTGATGCTGTGAAAGTCAATTTATGCAGAAAAAAACCCCGGCAGTTTGAGACTTGGTTATTCCATTTTCCATTGCAGTGAAGATTTGAATCTTACCTTTTCTGAAAGCATCTTTAAAGAATTCTTCAAGCTGTCTGGGGAACGCTGGCTTGCAGAACTAAGCAGCAGGTCTGCATGGCTTGATATAAGAGGTTGTAGATGATTGATGTTGCTGAGAACTTCCTTTGCCTTGGCTGTGTTTTCAGGTGAATAGTAAATACACTGGTATCCAGTACTGTAATAACGGAGAGAGTCACATAATGGAGAAATAATTTCTGCTATTAATAACAATGCTGAATGTGCTAAAAAACTTACCACTACTTTTACAGAAAACAATGCCAGATATCTGAACTTCACTTCATTGAATGCTCCTTCCTTTACGGGCAAAACCAAATCCTTCGTTGAACAGCAGCACACAACAGACTGCCCATCACCAAACAATCCAAGTAGTACTGTTCAACCTAAAAATTCCTTTGAGTGACTTATCTGAACATATTTTTGTGTGTTTCTTTTAAAAATTGTAATTCTGGAGAAACAAAAAGTTTGACCAAGTCAGATAATACTCACAAAGAGCATAAGGCTCCTTATTTTTCCAACTGCACTCCTCAACACATTATTCAATATCTCACTAAGTCTAACAAAATGAGCCATTAACATTCAACTGATCAGTGACCCACAGTGTTTTGATTAGCATCAGTGATGTCCAGCAAGTGGAGACAACCAGAGTTATCTCAAATAAAAAATAGGTGTCTAGTTTGCAAGAAAAGACAGAGAAATGGAGTGTGGGGATTAATTACTATAAAAACACACAAATGCATACTGCAAACTTCCTAATTTCCTTTCAATTGTTCACAAACTACTGTAATTCTTTTACAGAACTTCTTTTCCTATCCATCTTCTTCTTCCCCGCTCCCTCATACCTCAAGACTTGCTAATCATGCAATATCCTTCTATACCCTTATTCCCAAATACCATTTCATGCACACACATCCTGGATCTTCGTTGTAGTATACAGCTCCTCATCTAAACCTCCTGTACATAATTCTTCCCTTTATGTAGCCCTGCTTCAGTCTTTCAGAGAAACTAACCAGAATCTTTTGCAGTTTCATATTAACCTATAATGTCAACATGGGAAAAAATGTAACCAGGCAACTCCTGGCACTTTACCAATGCCAGAGGAACATGCATACTAGTACTTCCCAGTTGGTTCTATTTGTATCTCCCTTCTTTCCTCTTCTGTCTTTTAATCATATATACTTCAGTTTCTTCAACCCTTTCACAACTGTTTTAATTTCTTTCTTAATTTTCTTAATCAAGACCCGAATTTTGACACTTGTGCAACCCTCTGAACTTCATGCATTGCTTTTCATGAGTCTTTTTCCAGAACTCTTCACTCCCCCTTTCCCCCTTTGTGTCTTCTAGTGGCCCTTCCAGTTCCTTCTCATTAGTTTTCTGCAAATTGGAAATTAAATTTATTTCAATAAAGGACATAGCAACATAAATTCAGAAGTTCAAATGAAGTTGCTTCATAAAACATAAAAGGCTTAAGCATTTTGGCAAATAATGATAGACTCAAGTAGTCTTAAAATTTAGCCTCTTCCTTAGATATTTTGCTGATTTACAGTCCCAAAATCCACAATATCCTGTTCTATTTTCTATTTTCACCAGTGTCTCCATTTTTAGATACAATTCTTTGTAGAGGCAGTCAGGATGAATGGCATCTGAGTCATCAAAATTTTGCCACAATCAGTCGTGCTACCAGCCACATCAAAATTACTCCTCATCTCCAACTCACAGTCCCCTACATAAATTACTAGAGTGCTGAGTGAAACAGTCAGAATTCTGAGTATTTCAGCAAAATGAATTGTATCAACTCTCTTTTCTAATGAATTGGGGGAGAAAAAAAAACCTGTCCCTCTGAAAAATGAGGAAATGATCACAATTCTATCTTTGAGGTGGCAACACTTCCAAAGTCACATCTACCTCTACACTCATGGCAACTCTCAAGCTATCAGACTCAGTAGACAAGGCAGGGACAAGAGTAATAGTCTGTGTTAATTGTATTGAAGACAGACTTAAAAGTGTTGACACTTCTCTAATTCCCCTTCAGGCTTCTCCCTCCCTTTATCAAACAGCCTTTTTGCAGGCTGAATCTGGCTAATGCTGTTATCAAGCTCGCCATGCACATATTGCTTCCTGGGATTTCCCTCAGCCTTTAATTCCCTGATCATTTCCACTGATCTCCCACAGCTCTAAGCTTCCCTGAATGTTGCAGAAGAAAAGCTACAGGCAACATTGTAAGACAGAGGGAATAGCAATACTATATCTGTGGGCAGTTCTCATTGTAATAAGGTAAATCATAGCTTTTAAATGAAGGAAACAGAGAAGAGAGAATGGCTCTTTCTTCAGAATTAAGTGCATTATCAGGCTTCATTATTTGGCTAATTTTAACATTTCATGAACCCCAGAAAGCGTAAGACAACTTCAAATATTTAGTTTCTTTCACAATTTCAGTGCAAATTCCTCCCTCCCTCCAAGAAAGTGTGTAATTGTTTGTCAGAGTGTTTGGTAGTACTTTAAGTTTCTAATTGTTGTGTCCCAACACTGTTGAATCTACAACTAGCCTGAGATTTTCTGAGGCCCTACTGTTCATAAAAGGACATTACTACTTACAGTTCAGTGAAGTTTCCTCATCTGTAACTACTTTTAGAGCTTGCTGACACATACAGCTATAGTATGTAAGTATTATTACTTAGAACAATCAGCTACCAATAGAACTTACTGGCACATAAAACTTTTCACAGGTGTCCTAAGGCACAAACTAAATGAAACTTTTCCATTAGGGTAAAGGCCACATGGGTAGGTCCAGTGCACGAAATCAGCATCATTATGAAAACCTACCTTTGATATGCAAATTACATTATTACACATGTACCTTTTGAAAAAACTCTATAATAATGTCTTCTGGGTTAAGTTTCAAAGCTTTCATTGAGCAGACAAATCCACACTTGATCACTTTCATATACTGGCACCATCACTGAGTATGAACACATGACTACCAGCAGTCATCTCAGTTTTAAAATTGCTTTAAGGACATTGTCATGTAATTTGAATAAATATTACACTGGCTACATCTGCAATTTTAATCCTAAATTAAAAAAGTTTTTGCCTGAGAATAAATGCTGCAATATGCTAAATGTCTAATTTTTAATGACATTCCAAGTTACTCCACTCCTGCTGGTAACTGCAATCTGGGTGACTGAGTTAAATTGCTACCATCTGGGACTGGGTTCAAATCTTTCAACAATGAACATTTGACCTCGCATTTTTCACGGTCAAAACCACAGACATTCACATTAAGAATACAGTTAAAACATAGACAGCAAGTACATCTAATCCCAGATAACTTTGATCTTATGCACATTACTGAAGATATCAATTCAATGGCTTAGTTATGCAACACATGTATTCTGTCTAAAGTGAAAAGTTATGATCAAAAATAAATTGCTACATAAAAAAAACCTCTGAACAATTCACTGCCTCAATAAATAAAACTGAACCGTATGATCAGTGTCAAGGTTAGGAAAACAGGCCTGAAGTCAGAAGTTTAAATTAATTTTTTTTTATTTCCTTAAGATTCTGTTGTGGGTTCCTTTGCAAACTTGGAAATTCTAATTTTGAATACTAAGGAAAATGAAATCATATTAGTTCTGTCAATGTTCAAATCTCTACGAATCCTAATCTCAAGGCAATGGCTAAGGCTGGACACATAGACCTTTTCCAGTTGTTCTTTTATTTCCTTTCTATTCCTAACTGACCCTTGGAATAACTCTACATCAGTGCTTTCAGCTGGTAAAGGACATGAGTGTCAGTGAAAAGAAAGGTCAAGACTGCCTCCAGTCCTCTAGAGACCTAAGTAGGACAGATGCCACAGCAGCACAGGTGAATCTCACACTGAATCTTCCTAGGAGGACTCACTCCAGGAAGTCTGAATGCCTAGGGAAAGCCTTCCACAGTTCACCAGAATAATTTTAGAGTCTCTTTACGTTGGTGGAAAGGTGTAAGCAACCTTTAATGTAGGGGAGAATCTTATTCTAGGTAAGTGAGCATGGTTCTCATCAGAAGGCAAAAAGTTACCGTGCCCCACTGTAAGCTTGAAGTCAAATGGTGGAGCCTCTCAGTGGAGCCATCTCCTGGCAGCCTGCTGAAGAGAGATTACAAGAAAAAATGGCAAAAATATGGATCCCCTCTCCTGCTGCCCCAGCTGGAGTCCACATAGATGGAAGTTTCCTGTTCTCCAAAACACGCAATCCCAACCTTGGCAGGAAGATCTCCCACAAGTCCTTCCCTTCTTTTACAGCCCCAGTCTCCTTACTTTGATGCCCTCTGAAGGAAATGCTTCCCGCAATTCTGTCCAGAGAGTCCAGCAACTGGAAAATACTGTGATGAGAATTTTATATCTCAATGAATAGCACAAACTTAAGCAGTTTCTCACCTAAATTTTCACACAACCCTAATACACTGGTTTGATGGTCAGTGAAAAAGTGTTCATCTCCATGAAGTCTAATCTCTCTTTCTCACACATGTATACATCCAAAAAAAGGGGAAAGTGAGCAAAGAATAACATCTCTGTGAAAAGTGCTGTGCACTTTTGTTTTCCTTTGACAACAGTGATTAGATCAACTAGATCAAACACAGATCATTATTATTTCAACAATCTCGGATTTTCTGTGAAATAATACTACTTCAGGTTCCTCAGAGAAGGTTATGAAATTTGAGTAATAGGAACCCAGGAGATTGCAGCACTAATAAAAACTCTGGTAAGAGATATGTTAGTGAAGGAGCACACCTCATATCTTGACCAAAAATCTAGGCCTCATCAAACAGGAAGGGTTCTTTTAGACAGTTCAAAACCAAATTACATTATTATAACTTTAAAAAAAAAATTAAATAAATCAACAGTACTGTTCCACTTTTAAGCTAGTGCTAACTTAAAACAGGATAATTTCCAAACAGTTTGCTAGAAATTATGTATAAAACCATAGTGAATCACAGCACCTAATTCAGCTTGTCGGACACTTCTATTTTTCTTGATGTTTAAAATTGGAGCATTAAAAAACTTGCAATCATAAGCCTATGTGTTTTGATTAAAAGAAAGATGGTCGATTTAGATTTTAAGTGAGACAAAAAGCCCTTTGTGTATCTTGAAAGTGATTTATGAACAATTCAAGCAGTGAGGCATTATATGGGTATAACTTACAGAATGTCTCATAAACGTTCCTGCGCAACTGAGCTCTAAAAATAATAATTTGCTGTGCCATCTAGACTGATGAGAAGATAAGCCCTTCCATTTGCTGGAAGGAGAAATAATCTTTACTAGCAAGCCAAAAAAAGACTGCATCTGAACAACTAACTGACTTTTAGCTAGAAGTAGCAAAGGAAAAAATAAAGAGAACAATCCAATACAGCATAAAGAAAAATATTCTAAATAAATGTATATCCTAAACATATAATTAATATTCTGCATTGATTTGCCATACCTTAATCATCACATACCAATTATTTGAAGTGCTATCATACCTAAACAAAATTTTTAAAAAGAGTCAGTTGTTCTTACTGATCTTATGAAGCTCACTACTAGCTACTAAAGGGACAGATATACTAGTCATACCTTAAAGATATGACTGATGTTTCTAGTAGAAGAGCCTTTTATCTGCCTCTTTTTTACAGATAAAAACCAGTATGTGAATAGGTTGTAAAGCAATGGAATGGGCTTCAGATCACATACCATAAAGTATTATATTTTTCACCTGGAAGAAAAGCTTCTCTTGCTCTTATTTCGGGTCATATTTTTAGAAATCTGTCTTCCTTTTTTTTTTTTTCTTTTAATATGACCTGCTTGATGGTAACAAATGAGTGAAGAATTGTGAAAATACAGCCTTTTTTATAGATATTATTATACAAGGCCTTCCTCTATTTTGTCTGCACAAAAATGTATATTCTGCATAATAGTAAACATGCCAGAACTATCTTCAGATGCACATTTTCCACATCCTTCTATTTGATAAACTTTCACAAAATATGTCTGTCTTGCTTTGATTTGGCAATTGCAAATGCTACCAGATAACAGTTCCTCTTGTCTGTTAATTCCACAAATCTAGGTTTGAGCAAGGAATATTTTGTGATATGCTGACACCGTTGACTATTTCAATAAACTGCTTTAACAACCAGACAAAAGGTCAAAGACATGCAAGGTATTTTGTCATGTCTTGAAAGCTACTGGGATCAGCTTGAGAACTAATCTCTTCCCACATCTTCCTCTAGGTTTTCAGCTCACTTAGCCTAGCGGAAACGGCTGCTGAATCTGCACTTTTTTCTCTTCATTCTACATTCTGACTGATATTTCAAGGTGTCACTTCAACCAAATCTTCAGAAAAGCTGCCCCCGTTGTAAAACAGAAAATTTAAATTGTAAAAGCAGCCCCTGGAAATGCTGTGTGTCCTCAAAGCATCCTCATACAGCTAAACAAACAGGTACATGCAAAATAACGTTGTTGTTGCCACAGTGAAACAAATTTCTCCGTGAATGAGAATGGTACTTTTATGTATTTATTTAATGCAGACCCACTTTTGAATATTCAAATCAGTGAGATCACATTGAGAGCTTGCTTGCCCCTGTCTTTTAACTCACACAAGTTCTATTTCAGGGGAAAAAACCTAAACCTGGGGAGTTTTCTCTGGGCTGTCCTCAAAGGTAGTAGGAAAGATGAATTTTGGAGTCTTCCTCCTTTCTATTTTGTGGGAATTCATACACTAAGTGACCGGTTCCTTGGGTCTGGCAAGTGATTAGCTGAAAACTGCAGTCCACCTTTTTCAGTGCTCAAACTTAAGTTTGTTAGACTGACTCAGGCTTTTCTTTTAGGATGAGTCTGACAGGATAGTAACAGGGTTACCCTAATTATATCATCCTGAAGACAGACTTCTGCTCTTCCAGGGTAACACAGAAATGCAAAGGAAGCTGCACTGTCAGAGAAAACGTCTGGTATCCTGTCCTTGAAAATCACCAAAATACAAGCGTTTCTGATGGATGCTGAAAAATCTAAGCAGCAGGGCAAATGTAAGGTGACATGTAGACACTTGAAATACTTATGAAATACCTTGATAAAACCTGCACGAAGCTTTACCCAGTGCTCCCAAATACAATCCTTTATCAACTTAGATGTCTACATGGTCAATTCAGTGAAATAACAGTGAATGAAAATGAGAAGAGGTTGTGCTGCACCAAGTATCCTTTGCCATCCAAACCTTCTGACACTGCACAGGAGCCGAAGAAAGGAGTCTTGCCCATCATCTCTGCTCCCCTGTTATAGGCAACTAAGAAACAAGGGCACTGTCTAGTCAATCCTATGAGATACTGCAAAATGTGTTCTCTCAGTAAGAACTCAAGAAAGACTAGGTCCCTTCTCTATATGGCATTTTCCCTTTTTTTCTCCGACGAAAAGCAATCAAAGAGAATTTTTTACCTCACAGTTATCCTCCATTTTTGGAAGGATATCTGCCTACATGGATATGCTGCAGGACTGAGCAAGTGAGAAACAGTTCCCTTTCTGAAAGCTGAACACTGTGACGACGGGTACTGTAAAGTTCTTTATATCACTTATGACTTCAATTTCTTCTTAAGTAATATAATAAAAACTCACTAAACTCCATTGCAACTACATTAGTAAGATAGTAAAGAAGGAGATACCTTAAGAAATGACTTTAGATATTTTCTTCACTGGAAAACATGTACTTCATGGGCCTCCATGTGAGGGGGATAAGGCTGCCTATACCAGTCTGCTGACAGCAGAGTATTAACACAATGTTCAGTGAAGTGTCTTATGTGATCAATGATATTCATGTTTCATTGGCAAGTTTTGACATCAGAGGTGGTCACAGAAATGAAAGATTTTAGAAGATTTAGCAGGGTTTTTATGTTATGTAGTGCAAAAAACCACAAACCAACCCAATAATACAGAAAATATACCTGTTGGGTTTTCTTTGGTTTTTAGTACTGATGCCAACTGCTATTCAACCTAGAAGTCAACATTAGATTTTTATAATTTCCCTTTTAATTCTTCATGATATTGTGTCCATTAAACTTTTTTGAGCATTGAATACAATACAATTCATTTTCTACAAGCACCATGATGATTTAAATCAGAGTCCTTCCTGTATTCTCTTTCAAATGCTGTGACACTGATTGCATGGCGTTGGCACTGTTAGTGGAAGCACTGAGCAGTCACAACGATGGGTGCTGACAGCAACAACTGTGGCTGTTTGAAAATCTTAACAGCCACAGCAACAAACACAAACACATCCAATTCTTAGTTAGCAAAATATACAGCTAACACTTTTGTGCATGTTCAGCAACAAAGCATTTGAGACCAGCAACGAAAAGAAAATTTTATTTTTGCTTAGCCTTATTTTGGATTTTTGAAGAATAGGAAGAGTTTCTTACTTATTTCTCAGTTGCACTAAAAATATTTTTTCTTAACGTATGCCCAGGGCTGTCAGAAAGAAAGGTGCTACTTTAAGCTACTGTTTCTGTATTGAAGAATTGTCTATAGCTACGTTCCTACTAGCACAAGAGTTACCAACGAGACAGCTCATTTTGAACAGCATGTTTTCAAGCACTGATATACCTCAAGCCTCCTGAAGTATGGGGAAAAAACTTCTAAATTTTGAATAATAGAATCATTAAGGTTGGAAAAGACTTCCAATCTCATCGAGTCCAACCACCACATCACCAAGTGCCATGTCCTGTTGTTTCTTAAACACTTCTAGGGATGTTGACTCCACCACTTCTCTGGGAAGCCCATTCCAACGCATGATAATCCTTTCCATAATGAAATTCTTCCTGATGTCCAACCTGAAACTCCCATGATGCAGCTTGAGGTAATTTCCTTTATTCAGAAAAAGTCTTAGCACTAAAAGTAGACTGTGCTTCAATTTCGTAGTCTGACAAAGCAGGAAAGATAAAGGAAATATTTTATGAATGCAACGTCCAATGCTACTAGATTTTAATCTTCCATGCATTCAGGAGGGTAAATTGTTTTGTTCCTCAGTGAGCTCGTAACATTTTAATGCAATTTTATCGATATTTTCCTAGCTACTTGAAAGAATACTTACTTTCTTCTTTCTGCCTCAAATTTACTCAGCAGTTTCCGGAGACCACCATTCTTAAATCCTTGGAAATGCGCTGCTGGGGCTCCCACGGTGATGACATCATACAGAGCATCTGGAATGGGAGCAGACAAACACAGAGATTTGAATGTGCCTGTCCCCAGGGTATGGCAATGCTATGGTATCTACTCTACAAAACACGAGAACAAGAAGTCCGTATTATTTCCAAGGAATAATTGATAATCCATGTCTCAGGGAGGCCCAAGAACTAATCAGTCTTTCCATACAGCCACCTGTACACCCTAGAAAGTTCACCTGATTTATGGCTACATCTAAATTATATGCTGCAGTGTAGAACAATATTCTAGCTCTGCAGTTTACAAAGCTGCCAAGTAAATTGGCCCTTTGTGTATTTCACTTTATTACCCCTTTCATTATTTAACTTGTAGTCATGTTGAGATGCACAGATTCAAGCATTTTAGAATCAAGAGACCATTATAGGGGAATAGTCTGACTCTCTGAATAATAGAAACTACAGAATTACAGCTAATGATTCCTACATCAAGCTTATGCATCGAGCTTATGTCTCCTGGTTGAGTGAAGGCATCTCTTTTTTAATGTATCTAATCTTGATTTAAACACTTCAAGTGACAATGAATGCACTGCATTCCCAGAGAAGTCAATCAGTCTAGTAAAAACTTCTACTTCTTTTCTACTTTGGATTTGTTTGGATATAATGCTAATGGACTTGCAGATATAATGCCGTTTAATGCTAAATTGAAAAGCCCTGCTCTATGACAACAACTTACTTTTTATATGTATTTATGAACACAAAGTCAATTGTTTTCAGCTGAAAAGTTACCAGAATAGGAAATAAAACCACGCTGCTGAAATTCTTGCTGAGACAACAAAGTGTTGCTGCTCTCAGTATATACCTGATGTCTTACGACATACAGGATGAACTTTTTGTGTGGATTTATGTTTACAGAACTAGAGATGAAACATCTTTTTAAAAGGAGCCTTTGATTGATTGTCAGTGCAGAGATGAAGATTTAATTACATCCCAAACCACAATAATTATTTCTTCAAAGTTTAAGTTTACATTTACACTAAGCAGTACCCGTTTCGTACCCAAGCTTACTGCAGGTATAACACTACCGTTTGGAATGCCTCATTCTTAAAATATATCTCTAAAGTAAATACTAAAGGATGTTTTTTATGCCCTGCTTTATTCATCAAGGAAGCTTGCCATGTAAATTAAAATCTAGTCCCCTCCTAAAATAGAACTTTTATTGCATTCTGATGATAAATATCCCTAGAAGCAAGAACACTGTACAAATGATTCAGTTAATGAACTATGCTTTACTTCCAGAGCTGAATTTCAGAACATATTTGCTCAAATTGATTTGAACTCTAATGAATTGGTGACTCTTCAATTTCCACTTAAAAGGAGAAGTGACATAATTTCATTAGCCTAAGGTGAGCTTCAAGATTCTTAAATTGCCCATTCTTTCAGGTCTTAATAGAGATTTATCCTTAATACATAATCTTGGGCTATTAGAGCTCCATCAGTACTTGACAATAAGTATTCTCTTGCTTAAAACGATAGTTGCTTGAAACCAAAATAAGAGATGAACTCATCAGGTTAACCAAATAATGGGCTCTGAATATGTTTACAGATAACTGATGAAATTACAGGAAAACATTTAAAATACTAAAGCCTAGCTCTGTTTTAAAAATAAACAGTGACCCTGCTGATAGTTCCTTTGGAGGGGGAATTTACCCCCCTTTCATTCATCCTGTGGTCACTTCTCAGCGTGGTCAAAGAGCAGCTGTTTGAGACACAAACGCACCCAGCACAGCTGAGCACCCACATCATGTAAGTGAACACAGGAGAGTGAGGATGGCAAAGGAGGAGAAAATGTCTGCAACTCTGGTGATGGGCACAGGGCAATCTCTCTGCCACTTTCCAGAGAACAGTACACTGGAGACTGCTGCAAGGCTTGGGAGGAATGCCTTGTGGTGTGCTCCACTTACACATCAGTGGAGCTCCTTCTGAAGGACATGCAGTGTCAGCATCAGTGAACTGGTACAGAAGTGCTCCAGTAACTCAGAGCCATCACCCCCTGCAAGAGCAACCACTGCTGACACATCTCTGCACTGAAGACAGAGCTTAAAATGCAGCAGAGAGCCATATGAATGGTATCATATTGTCAAGAACAGCCCAATCTCGAACTTGAAGCAAACCTGCTTGCCTTCACAGGAGGCAGTCAGTGTCTCACACTGGCAAGATGCAAAGTAAAAATCATTTCACTTCACCAAATTTATTTCAAACAAGCACACAACATATAAACAGGGACAAAAAGCAAAGCTATGCCGATGTACAAATTTAATTCCTGTAGTATGATGAACAGAGCAAAATGTGGTGTTTATCAAATGGATAGGGATACAGCCATCCCATAAGGAGATAGTATTTTTCTCCAAGTTGTTCCTACTGGAAGTTTAAGCAGACAGGTACTTTCTATTCCATATCAGTACCCAATAACAACCCAAATCAAAGTCCACTAAAAGTCAACCTGTTATTAAACATGTCAAACAAAAAAATAATCACATATGAATGTGCATACACGATAGATGGGATGAAAACCTATCTTCTATTGCCAAAATTAAGACATGACAGTGTAAGAGTTAATGAGAGCTTTATGGCTCAACAGCTTGTAGAATGGTCACCTCTGTGAATGTTTACATGCTTTCTTATTTTATTCTCCCCCCTCCCCTCTAAGTCTCCTGGTTATATTCCAGGTACCATGGATATATGCCAAGCAAAGCGTAAGATGACAAAGACCTTGATGTCAAAGTGCTGCCTACTCGAGATTGATGAGCAATTGCTAAAATCTGTTCGAACTGTAAATATTTAACACAAGACATACTGAACATTAGTTAAATAACAAAGGGACAGTTTCAAAATTTAAACAAAGTTCCAAATTTAGAAGACAATTCTAACTTATCTCTTTCTGTACCCTTTTAGATTAAGGATTAACTGTGTTCCCCAAGCAAAGTAGTTTTGGAGGAGAAAGGAGAAAATTCATAAAAAATACAAAACTAAAACCTCAATTAGTATAAAAGTTATGGGTGATTAAGTGTCATATTTCATTCCACATTTTTTTAATAACCATACAGTGTCCTGTTCCCAGGGAGGTTTTCTTGAAAAGACGTAATGTATTAAGGTTCTGGTCACCCTAAAAATGCTTTTGAGTAAACTAATTAACTTCAAAACATTAACTAAATTAAAATCTATGCTGTCACATTATGTCACTATAAATGCCCATCTTGTTAAAATGTTTGGAGGCACTGCTGTTTAGTAAAAGAAATGACAAAATATTGGACCAATACAGTATCTAACAGATAATTCAAAGTCCCTATGTTCCAACTTGGAAGTGTATGAACACCAGCCTCAGATAGTATAATACTCCTATAATCACTGTTTGTACCCACTGTTTTACAATCTGTTTGATGCAGTGTAATAATAATATTAATAAAAACCTTACAGAGTGTAATTTCCATGTTTGTACAGGGACAAGAAATTTAACAGATCTCAATTTATCAACAAATTATTCACTGTGCTATGATTTGGCCACATGTATGTATCAGTATAATCTTTTACCTGTAAAGGATGCTGCTAAAAATTATATGCAAGCAGCAGCAACAAAATTATGCATTAAAAACAATCATGGACAACATAACAGAAAATTATTCCCCTTTCCAGGAGGTATTAGAAGTTTGCAGTATTTTTAGCAAGATCAGTAGGGATATTTTCACTTAACACAGAGCAAATGCTTCTGTGGCGCAGGGTAGCACTGTATAAGAAATAGGATATCTTAAGTTTTGAAGTAATACTGCCCTTAATGCAACTCCTGTCACTCAGGCTAGTGAGTTCATCCCAGAAATGTCTAGAAGGAGAATTATTGTATTGTGCTCTACCACTATCTCTGGTGGAAAACTGGGAAGTGGGGGAAAAATAAGCCACCTTAAAACAAGAGAGTTAAGACTGGCTTTTACAGCACACTGACATTATGGATCACAATGAAAAATTAAGCTGATGCCCAAGAAGGACGGGAATCTTCCTGAACATTGTGCAGTGTGTCAGGATGAATCATGACAGTATTAGTTCTGCACTGCTACAACAGAATATTTTTAACCACACATAGGTTACCAATACATTTCAGTGAACATACATTCTGCATTTACTTATTTCCTTGAAGTGTCATGGGAACAAAATGAGCACAACATCCCCTGAATTTATTTTTAGAAAAGAACTTAGAAGAAATTTAGTTAACCACTCCTCGGGTTTCCAAGACCTGCAGTCAGTATCCAAAACTTGTGGCTTCAGGAGATAAAGCAGATAAATTCCTTGCACAGCTTTAACTTTGGATCCAATTCCTAAATTTCCGCTCAGTCTCAGGGTTTCTGGTCAATCTCAGCAGCAGGTTGCCTTGGTGCAGATTTTGGAATTTGTAGTAAAATGGGGAGGATGGGGAAGCCGATCACTTCCTTGACCTTATGATTTACCCACCTACCTTATGATTTACCTATTGTGGTCCTCAGTTGTGGACCTCAACTGAGTACCTACTCAGTTTGCTCCAGAAATTTTGCAAAGAGCAGTCAAAACTGAAACCTTCGGTTTTAGAAGCAGATGCACAGTCATAAGAGAATGAAATGAAACCCTTCAGGAAAACCAAAAGGTTCCACATATGTGCATTCACATAAAAAAAACCCCAAACCAAACCAACCAAAAAACCCCCAAAACAAAAAAAGAAAAAAAACCCAGGAGTAAATAACCACACAGAAACTTTTTAGAGCCCATTAGACAAAGTGAAAAATTAAGCCCTTTAAGCCTGTACAGCCATAGAGACTTTTAAATAATTAATTTGGAAGTTTGATTCTGATTTTCTTTAAAAACAAACAATCACGAAACAAACAAAAAACCACAAGCAACAATCTAGTAATACACAAAAACTGCTGTATCAAGCCATAGTCCGAGAATCTTACAAATAAGCTAATACTGTACCAATCTTCCCTGACTGGCAAAATGCATGCAACATGAAATGAATCTCAGAACTTTCTTTAAAAGTCACTGTATTTCTTGTGATATTCTTTTCTCCTCAGCATTCTTCCAAATCCACGTAAGTCCAAATTGCACATAAATTTTTCTCGAAAAAATCCATTTAATACTACTTCCATTCCTTTCATTTGTGGCGTCTTTATGTCCCACTTTTGTTGTGGTTTTAAGTTTCATCTGAAAGTATGTCCATCTAACGCTCACCATTGAAACTGGATATGTAAAGATATTTCCATCATAAAATGGAAGCCATCCCTCTCAGTTGCAAATTGAACTGTATTTGAAAGCACACTTTGTCACACTTGGAGAATTTCTCTGCAGCATATGCTTTACCTTTCAATCGAGGACTATGCACATGCATTCTTTGCAGATGAAGATTTATTGGGATGAATTCTAGTGTTTTTTCTCCTTTGCTACAGCTTGATTTGAAGGAAGAACCTGAAAAAACACAAAAGTTTAAAGAATCATTATCTTTAACACACAGATGTTTTGTCTTCTTTTTAATGTGAGGACAATACTTGTATGTGAGCAGTCTTCTTTAAATTCCTTTTAATGTGTAATTGCATATTAGGAGATGAATGGTTCACTAACTGAGTCTCAGCATGTATCCACACTGGGAGCACCAAGCCAGCTTTTAATTCACAGAACAATCTAATTTTTTATTCTAGGTGACAGATATTTTTTCCTGCTGTCTGAAATCAGTCTGCAGCCTGCTGGAACAATGTCGCAGTTAATGTGCATTATGTTTATTCTGTGCTGAAAACACAAGGGTGCTGAGCTATAATGGCACCACATCTTTGCCAAATAACATTTTTTAATTCAAACAGAAGTATTATTATATTGACTAGGCTATCCACTCTTCCTAGAAAGCAAATAAAGAAACACAAACGATCTTAAGGAAAGCTGTAAATCAGTTTTCTTTCTAAAAAGCCGAAATCACAAGAAAAAAAATAATCCGGCTGCATATTTCAGAAGTATGAGACTATGAGTAACTCTATGGTGGTGCAAAGGAATATAATTAAAAGTCTAACAGTATGAAAATAAAATTTACTTGGAGATATTTCATATAGAATATATATAAAATAAAAGGGTGTAGATTAAGAAAGAGAGGTGGTCTTGTCTTCTCACTCAGGCAGTCCAACATTTACTTAGACCATTTTTCAGCATCCTATCATTTTGTCAACTATTAATCATCAGAACTAATATTCCTCTGATTCAGACAGAATTTTTAAATAATTTTTGTCAAGGTTCAACTGTTTCTTGAAAGACAGAAACAAACAAAAAGGTAAAAGAAATATTTGAAATTCTTCTTTTGGACTTGCTCAATCAAGACTTGCTAGGATTTATCTGTTGAAACTGCCATAGATTCCAAGAGGACTAAGCATTGAGCCTCCCCAGGCAAACCACACTGCCAGAGGGCACCAGTGATGCTCCAGACCAATCAAGGTTGCTTTGGCTGTTCTCAACCTAAGCAACTTAAATTAATAATTTAACACAGATGAAGAGCAAAGGTAGGAAGAAAAGCAATCGACAGGAATCAAAGTTTCAGATTAGACAGGAAACTTGGGGATGCAGAATGAAACCAGGAGCTGTTGATGATGCAGTGGGAAACCTGCATCTGGGAAGCACAGAAGAACAAGTAGGGGGTAGGGAAGGGAGCTGAAACTATTAGGAAAGAAATGAGAGTAGTGCAGACAAGGAAACTGTAAGTAATTAGAAAAGAAAACAGAAAGGGTGCAGATTATTTGTGAGAATTCAGCTGAGACCAAGATCAAAGTTTAAGGAATGGTAACTGAGACCTGAGACAAGGAAACATCGGCTGCCTGAGAGGAGAATATGATGGTAGCAGATTTAAATGGACAGGTTAAAGAAGAGTAGGAGGGAGAACAGGAGAAAAGCCTGCTCTCAGGAGTACGCTTCTGTCCTGAGCAGGAGCAGAACATACTCAGCATTGCTGAGTCTTGTTACTCCTCTTTTCAGGGAAGACCTGTGAAGCAAGGAATCCTTTCCATCCTGTGCCAGAAACCTATGGTATAAGAACCACTCACCTATTAATTATTACATTTGCTCAGGTATGAGATCCATGAATTTGCCAATTGCAGCCATACCATAAAACTAACTTTCAACATAATTTTGCTGGTTTTAAGTAACTTGGTAAATTGCATTTAAGTACTAAAAAAAAAGTCGCATTTAAGTACTAAAATAACTACATTCCCTCTATTAAAAAATTTCTTGTCATTACTGCTACAAGATTAAACTCTTTAAAGTTAGGAAATATCAGAATACAGATACAACCTTCATCTGACATCCACCTGAAGAGGAATGGTGAAATGGACTTCAATAACATATCACATACCAGCTTTTCCCAGTTCATTTTCATCAAATGTTTAGTGTCTTTGCTGCTCACTTTAGAAGCAGAGATTCAATATTTTGTTTCCAACTTTTACTTCAATCTGAATTCGAACGTATCGCTAAAGCCTCACACAAAGACAGGATTATCAGTTTCCTCAAATCTGTCTACTGTATGCGTAACAATGGTCTCTAAGGGCTTTACAAATATTTATAGAATAATTTTAACTGGCTGAAATAAAGGTTTATAGTTTTACCCATCCAAATGTCAAATAATAAGCATTTAAGAAACAATACATCGATATGAGATACTGAGGATTTCATTCTGTAGAGCACGTGTTATAATGCAATATCACACTCCATTTTGGAAGCACAGCCCCCACTGAGCTGGATCACATCCCTGAGTACTTGTACAAAACAGTTTGTGTCTATTGCCAGGCTTCCAAAAAAGAACAACACAGACCAACCACTTCTCAAGTCTGACTTGCCTAGTGCCAGAAAGGAACTTTGTGACAGAGGCAGGGATAGTCTCCAGTTCTCAAGAGCAATATTCAATCGCCTTAACCTCAATTGTCTTTTTTTTTTCTCCTTCTAGGGTTGGATGAATAATAGATTTTTCAGTTTGATGACTGAAATGGAAAATCTTACTTAATTCTTATAGATTCCTGGTATGTTTCCCTGAAATAGAAATACTTTGTGTTTCCTGAAAGACACACCCATTTTTGAGGATAAAAGTGTTTGCCAAAACAACTCAAGTTTGAAATAGTCTTAAGTTCCTTAAACGTCCACTGCTAAACCAAAAATTGCCATCTGACACTAATGCAGTGTCCTGAGACTTTGACAGCGATCTCTCTGTTTCAAGAAGAAATTAAGTGATCTTCTAACAACAACCTTCTCCATTAAATTCCAAAAAGCGCTCAGTAGAGTGTGAAGGTATTATTCAGAAAACCCAACATGTGATTGTATAGGAGCAAGGCGGGAATATTTTGGAGAAATTTTGTTTGCAGAGCTATTTCCCCTTCTAAACATTTCAACCCAAACTCAGGCAACGTGCTGCCTAAGACAAAGTAAGATGCCTGCACAGGTTGAACTGAAAAGCAAAATCTTTTTTGGCATGTGTTGAAATATGTGACCTGAAAAGTCTAAATTAAAGTTGTGCTCACATCCCTAATCTTAGCAATTTCTACTTTGTGAGTGCTTCAATTTCTAGTCTCTACTATGTTCTCGCAACATAACTATTTGTTCAACTATAGTATTAAGTCATCTTGGAACATGCAATGAATCTTATCTGCATCTACCCTGTTCTTTGAAAAAAAAAAAAAAACCACAGTAGGGACAAAATTCTGAAAACTTTATGTGGAAAAATTAATCTTTGTTTCACAGAGAATTGTAATTACTTGTTGCAAAAGATTTAGGCAGAAAAAAAAATCTGGGTATAGATAATTAATGGACAGCAGAAATAAATGAAAAAAACCTCTTTTAGATTTCGTTTTACTTCTGGGCAGCCAAATGCTACATCCCCTAGAGGAACAAAATGTAGATTTGAGGTTTCAGCCTGGTTCTACACATGTATACACAATAAATTCTCCCCCCACCCCACACACACTTTATAATTAATCTCTACAGAACAGTTTTAAAAAGGCAATCACTACCAAAAGGATTTATCATTTAATTTAATTGTGAATTGATAAGAATAGACAGACTATAGTTCAGGGTTAAAAGTAAATATTGTTTCCATTAAAAGAGCTGGGCTATTATTTGGATTTTGAATGTGTTCATGTCCCACTGATTACAATAAATTAAGTTCTGAAACCTTCAGGTAACACAAGATGCAGAATCAGGGGTTTCCAAATATAAGCAGGTATTTTACACTATTAGTAAGGGGTAGAAAAAGGGTTGTGAAAGAAAGGAGATTTAGGTACGTCCCTGAGTGCTTGCCCCCAAACTAACACCTCCTGATTATTTCTCTTCTTCACTACAATCATTAGGGTGTTTTGGTTTATTGCTTTGTTTTGTTTTCTGACAAATGCCCCTACTCTTTTTTTTACATGTGCTGGTTCTGTACTCCTCAATAATCTCAGGTTCCCAGGTCCACGGCAGTTCTCTTAAGACCCAGTTAAGACACATCATTCAACATTACCAACTCTCTAAAGTCACTTGGCACAATACAGGACTTGCAGGATTTCTGTTTAATAGATTACTTTGTCTATTTTTTTTTTTAATCTCAAAATGTCTTTTCAGTATTTTCCCATTAATTATCACATTGATTCCTTCATAATCTGTATTTATTGGCTTGCTTACGATACTTTATGAAGTGTTTCCAAAATGTAATTAGCAAAGCATTGAAAATACATGTATATATTAGTTAAAACAAACATAGCAAGTGCCATACCGAATCAGACAGTTGTCTGCCAAAATCAGAACTGGAATATTCTGATAATGATAAACAACCATAAATATAAGAAATTACACTTTTGCAAATAAAATGCAAAGTATACATCAATTAGTGCAACACATGACCTTTTTTTCCTCCACAAACACTTAAGCAGGTGATCAACTGCTTCCAAAATGCTTACTTTCAGTTAGGGACTGGGTTTTTTTCATACACTAAAACAAGATTTCTCTTTTCTTGTGACCAAGAACACTATCCCAGAGCAATGTGGACTGAGAAATACCATGCTCAGTCCTGCATTAGAAGATGATGGCTACAGGATAAAAGCACAGTTTTGAAAGAGAAAGGCTTGTGTCTCCCCTACTAAATGCAACAGATTATTATAATAAAAGCCAAGCACCCAATTATCTATATGAAGAAATTATTCTATGTATTTTAGATGTATAATGAACTAAAACCTGACTGCTCAATTTCTCAGTACACACACACAGCAATTTTGTTTGAACTATGTGGAAAGCTGGAAGTAATGAAAGAAATACTGCAAATCCTTCATAAATATATGGAGGATATTTCACAAGACACTATCATATTTTCAACCTCTATGTTTACGAATATTCAGAACTGTAACGTATCTTTTTCTCAGAAATATTCTAGGTTGCACAGTGTTTATCTCTGACATCTATGCCTATCATATCTCTACACACACAGAATTGTGGGAGCAAGGCCATAGTGGGAATATCTAATAGTGGGAGTGTAGAACAAAGTATAGAATAAAGAACCAATAATGGTCATCGCAAACATGTATTTGAGATGGTGAGTGTGAGGACTGGGGTTTGAAATCTGACATCAGCAAGAAAACAGCAACAAAAACAACAAAGCCTTTTTAGTAATTCACAACAAATATGCCCATTTCCTTACAGAACATCTCATAAACTGGGCAGGGGGAGGGTACACCAGCAGGAAGAGGCAGAAAGACACGCTGTAAGCAGACAGAAAACTTCATTTGCCCAAAATACAGTGGGATTCGGGAAATAATTCCAGTAGGCTACTTTCATAAAATCACAGATTCCTACCTGTGTGCTTCCCAAGCTCTGCAAGGGTATCCTGGTACATGCTCAACATCTGATCACAGTGAGCAATTACACTTTTGCGCATGTTGTCCCAGTGAGGAGCAAGTTCTCCCAGGTCTTTAAGTTCCTGATTCCTGTACAAAAAGACAAAAATAGAGGGTACTAATTAATTCACTAATCCATTAACATTCATCCAAATTAATCCAAAAAAAGTTTGGTACAAAACATCCAAAGGACTTCCTAATTGAATTAAAATCTTTTTTCATGATGCTTGTAAGATCTGCTTCTCAACTCTGTTTTGCAACTACACAATAAAGAACGTCAGTGAAGAATGCAGTAATTTGTGTTGAAAACTCATTTGTTATAAATGCAATAGCCTACAAACTAAAATACTATTTCTTTCCCGGAGGTAAGAAGGCTTTCAGGCTCCAGAGAGCTGTGTTCACAGCAAGTAACTTTTTGTGAAGAAATACGAAACACCATTGTAAAGGATACAAAGTTTGCTTCCTTTCCAACACTTGCAGCACAGCACAGTTGTTTTGATTTGGATACTTTCCTACACAACATAAACACATTTATAGCAGTGTTTCTACTTAAGTCAGTTTAACCAGCACACCAGCCCTCACCACAGTTCTTCAGCATACAAAACAAAACACATAAACCAAAAAGCCAAAACACGACCAGTCCCCTAAAACTTAATCTCCAAGCCTTACAGCTGTGTTCATCAGGTCAAAACAGCAGTGCTATGGCAACCAAACATGTCACTGGAAATCCCAAAGGAAATCCTTTAGTAAATTATCAGTTTTCCTGTACGCTCTTGAGAGCTGACCTGAGTGAAATAGAGATCACTTTAATTTCCTGTGCAAACAAGCACAGCTACAGTATGCTGGGATTTCTGTTTGGTTTTCCCACTTGCAAAGTTAGTTTATCCTATACCTATCCCAGAGCCACTTTGGAGGACCTGCTTTTATAAGGAAACCGAAAATGAAAGATCTCGAGTCTTCAAACATTTCAAATTGTTCAGTAGAAATTTTTTGCAACACAACCAGGTTTCCTCATTTTCCTCAAAGTATCAAGAAGACACTTTCACTGCAACTCATGGGAGTTTCCAAAAAGACTTCCAGGGGACAGCTCTTGCACACAGAAAAATTACTGAAGAAAAAGGAAAAACAGGGGGAGAGAGGGCAGTAAGAGGGAGGGAAGGATCAATGAGCCTTCAGCACAGGAATGTAGAGCTACACTTTTCACAGCAGTTCTGACCATTAGCCAGAAAAGTCTTGAAATTATTTCTTAAATAGAAAAGCCACACACTGGGTTTTCCCCATCGTTCTTAGCCTTGCTTTAGTGTGAACAGTATTAGAATGAGCTACATTGGCATAATTCTGCTCTTGGTTAACATGACAACCAAAACCAAACAGATTGCACTGGAAGCAGAATTAAGGTATTTTGTTTATACATGTCCTTGAAAGAATTGAATTGGAATCAAACATGCATGAACTCATTGAGAGTTTACTAATGCCAGGATTACTTTTCCCTATTTAATTCAACCTGAAGAATAGAAGATGAACCAACTAAACTTTCCTCCATCAATTCAAACTGGCAATGTTGGAGCATAAGAATCATCTGCAGTAAAAGGATAACTCCATCATTTCCAACAACCACTTTCCTTATAAGTTGTTAGCAATTTAACATCAGACATCCCATTAAATGAAAACCTCAGGGCTTACTCTTAAGAAAAGCTTGTATCCCTTGTCAGGGTATACAATTTTGTTTATTTGCAGCCAAGATATTTTGGACCTTAACATTTATGTTATCTTATTTACTCATTTCAGGAACAATGCTTGGACCTGGTTGACCTCCAAAACTTCACTGCTCCTTATATATGGGAATAGAGTATTCTACTAAGAATTATATACCCTCCTCTATCTAAGCCCACACCTGGATCTGTCAATCTCAAACAACAGCAGGAGTAGAAACCTTTTATCTCAGACTAAAATATCCAACCAAAACCAAAAATTTGTTTAACCAGCTGACTGTGAGTTGACTTCATTGACACCAACAGCAGTGGGAAGGGAAAACTCAAATCCCACAATTTAACATGTTTTCAAGAAACATCAAATCCTGCTCTCATCATTGTCGACAAGGCTTGCATTTGTTTCACCTCAGAAACACCTACACATCACTGAAGTAAAAATTTAGCCACTAGTATGTCAGAAGACACATCTTATCTGCAATGTTTAAATAAAGTAAGAGTGCAGTTTTATACCAGTCTAGAGCATATGTAGCATGGAAACTTGAAATATTACCTTTCCTGAATTTTTTTTCTCTTCAAATATACAGTAAAATCAAAACCATGAGATAACAGGATTATATGGCATAGAGAAAAAACAGCCTTGTTGCACACTTTATAGCTTTATTTTTTTCAAATGAAATTATAGAAGATATAGGATTTAGATGGTATTTTATATCTTGTGATTTTTTACTATTTGCCACTGCTGTTGTTGACTCAATACAATTCTGGATTATGGCTGAAAAAAGAAATATTTTTTTTATATCTAAGCTCCATCAACAATATTCCACAGTACCAAGCTTTATTATCATTATGTGAAAGAACTCTTCCAAAAGTAAAAAAAGTGAAGAACCATAACATTTAGCAGATTTGGAAATTTTAATTTGTTTTAATAAAACTATAATATATATATATATTATATATATATATACATATATATATATGTATAACTATAATACTTGCATCAGGACTTCTTTCACTGATTGACTTTAAAAACACACATCATAAAAACACATTTCAATCAGTAATTGTGTCAAACAACAACTGTGCTGTAAAAAAGAAAGTATTAATATTTATAATATTTATTCTAAGAAGGCAAATCAGGTACTGATTCAACTTTCCAAGGTAGCCATGGAATTATGAATAGCTAATCAACCAAGCAGTAAGCTCAGAGCAAACTCAATGTTGTTAAAATAGAGCTATTTATCATCTTATTCCCCCACTCCAAATCCTCTCTCAAAGTCTTTTCCAGATAATTGCACTTATCACCATGACAGATCTTGTGCTCAGCATCAACTAAAACTCATCATACAGAATGAAATCCAAGTTTTGTCTACAGCTGTTTGTCTTTGTCTCATGGCTCAGCTCCTCAGACTCGCTCCTGGATAGAATTTTCTGTCACTGCACAGTGGAAACTCCACCCAGAAGTGAATCTCAACTTCCATTGTCTCCTGCCTTGATTAGTTCTCTATGTTCCTTGGTTGCCTCGGCATAATCTTGCCCCATTTGTGTCTGACCAGAATGTGGATGAAAACTGTCTGTCCCATTCCTCATTCTCCCCCTCAAATATTAGCCAATGAGCTTATTTTTAAGCCTGCCTTAGGTAGAATCTGGTTCTCACATCCATTCTTCCCTTTAGTACACTAATTACACCAGCTTTCACTGAGCACTTATGTTTGGAAGCAGTTCCCCATTAAAAAGTGTAAAATGTACCTGTCACCCTCTCTTCAAAACCCTTTTCTGCCACTATGGCATTAAAATTTAACTTTGGATCCAGATCTGCTTGCATACACAAGGCTGTTTGTTAGGATAAAGATTAATGGTCAGTGAGGCTAACACAACAACAATTTTAAAGAGATGAAAAATTCTAAGAATAAGTTATGAGATTCCTAAGGATTCCACTGCAGTTGGAAATGTTGTGGAGCCTCATTTCAGGCTCCTACTTAAAAGTCAACAACTTTTTTTTTTTTTTTTTTTTTTTTTCCAGAATGATTTACTGATTTGCACAGCTACAATCTGTGGGCACTTTGTCCTTTAGCAGACTCAAGCTTTCCCCAGCCTTGGCTGATAGCAAGTAGAGCCATTGCACAAGTTGTAACACTGATGTGTAGGATGGGTTAGGAGGTTCTGCACCTGCCACCTCCCCAGATACATTTCTGAAAATACTGGCAGTTAAATACTGGTGCCATTAAACTCCAAGTAAAATAACATGCAATTTTTTTATTCCAAGGAAATGGTCAAAGAAGCCCATTACCAAAAAAATAGTTGAGAACTGATAGCTCAGATTAATATTCCATCTTTTGATTTACCAACTCATGTCATTTTTTTATTTCCAAGAACACCTTGGGTGCACGATTATAGTAAGCTACTAAAAATACCTGAAAGAAGCACAAGGATTTTCCTGTGTGACTCAGGTTGGTAATTTCTACTTAGCTCCTGCTTGGTGCCAGGCACTTTAATGACCATAGCAACAGAAAAGGACTTGCTCATCACTTTGGATACAGGGATATAGGAACAGCTCAGAAGTCCAAAGAAAACGTATTCAGTGCTAAAATACAAACCACTGATTTCTGCAAGGAGTAGTTTGAAAGAGTCCTATGAATTATGCTACAAAATTATTTGAATGAAATGCCAATACTGAAATCATGTTTCCATTGAACTTGTTTTTGCAAAACTACCACCAGCTTCAACAGTTCAGACACCATAGTGGAATGCACAGTGAAAACCTGTGGCCAGTGACAATAAATCAGAATAAAGCAAAACATCAACAAGATGTTAAGATGAGCAATATGAGTGAGAAGGGGGCAGTCCCTCAAAAAACTTTCTTGGATCTGATTACTCTGTTTCCAAAAAGGGAACAGCAGAAATAGCCATTTGCATCATTAAAGACACAACACAAATCTTCACAAATTGAAAGAAGAAGTTGAAAAGATCAATGTAATTAAAAGAAGAGGAGATAATTAAGAGGACATATGATAAAAGCACAGGAACCAAAAATGCTGCACCAAGATCAAGTAGTAAATTTTTTTATACATACAGATTCAAAAATCCAGTGATTCAATTCCCAGTGAAGCAAACATGATAAATTCAAAATGAAAAAAATGAAGTAATTCTTGCCTCCACCAAGGAAAATTAGTTTCTGAAATCCACTTTCACAAAACATCAGAAGCAAAGAGCTTAGCAGGATGCAAAAGAAGATGAGACATTTCTGCAGATTATATTTGCAAAAATTTTATAATATTATAAAGGCATCAAAATCCTGCATATTTATCAAACAGGAGCTTTGGAGTAAATATACAACATAAGCTTTGGGGTATGACTCAATCCCTCATGAGTAAAGGAAGCTTAGAGGAGCACAGGACTTATTTTTCCTAACAAAGTTTACTTTAAAGTGTACATGTTTATGGACAACCATTTAATTTTTATTTTTGTGTTGAATAGAAGCCGATAAGATTACCCTCATTTTTCTTTACCACAAGTTATGGTCCTGTGATATACAGGCAATAAACCCCACACAAGCAATACAACATTCTCTCCAGAAATAAAAGAATCATAGCCTTTTCACTACATTGTTTCCAAAACAGACAAATAATTACTAAGGAGGTTATAATTTCCTCTGGGGAAGCATATTTTTCTCTCTTTCATAATAGTTTTCATTTAGAACCTCTTAAAAAGAGTTGCCATTTTCAACTTCTTACAGAATTTCCTAAAGCAATTCCAGTTTTTAGTAAGTCTGACTTGACAGGCAACCAAAAATTACAATGTAGGTTGTGTCTACCTTTTGCATGTCCTAAACATTTGTTTAAAAAAAAATCCAAAAAATAAAACCCCACAAAAAATCCCATCCAAACCACATGAGGAAACAACTCAAAAAGAGCCAAGCCAATAAATACATTAAAAAATATTTTAAAACCTGTTTTTCAATGTATACATGGAGAATAGACTGGGATTTGCAAAAACTTTATAATATTTTATGCTGTTCCTAAGATCTGGAGTTTATAAGTTCCTTTTTCATTTCTCTGCACTACCATCCCCTTTTTATTATCCAAAAGTGTAGACAATATCCAAGCTAAATTAAACCCACACTCTCATTCTTGCCTTAAGACTCCTTCCCTTCCAAACTCTTTCCCTTCCTTGGATAATTTATTACCTGGATTTATCTCTGAAAGACTCAACACCTTCAGACAGCATGACCATTTGAGGTTAATTCTATGATTTGCATTTAATAGCAGAGGATAATTCTCCTGCATTAGACATTTGCAGAAAGTCTCGAATTCAGTAATTCTCAGAATGGCATCTCTGGAATTTACATGTTAATCCTAAATTATATTTTAGTAGTTAGCAATACTGTATAGGATCTTTAAGGGGTTTTTTCTTGTTTGGTTGGTTGGTTTTAATTCTTATTGTTTTATCAGAAAAACACTGGAACTGGCTTAAGACAAGGTTGCTTCACTTCCATGATATAAGCATGATATAAGCAAAATATGTAATTTTATGCAGAGGTAACTGTCACAATACAAATCAGGTGATGTTGCTCCATTCCAATGCACTACACTGTCACATATGTCACATGAAAACTCATCTTAGACTTTCACAGAGGCCATCTTTTCCAAAATTAATTGTGAACAGCAAAATCAGGAGGACCAGCAACTATGTAGCGTTCATACATTACAATATTTTACCCCTTATAAATAAATGGTTTTTAAACTGATCTTGTTTGAGGAGGACAATTGTCTAAATGCTACTTACAAAATTCAAGCTATATTACCTTCATATGCTTATGTTCCTCTAGGCAGCAAACTGGTAGAGAGTAGGAGGGTAAAGTTTTCACATTCTTTTTGATGCACAGTGGGGTAAATACTGCATATGCATGTATTTGAGCTATGTTTTACTGACAAGTTTGGGAATTTTTTAAGTGTCAAAAAGAGTATTTCTATGAATATTCATGCAAGATACTTAGTAGAAGTAATGTTAGGTATATTAACAGTGCCTGTTTGGTTCAAACAGTTTCAGAAGTCATGGTAAGTTTAGCCTGAATCACTTTTATTTAATGCTATTACCTCTTATCAATACAATGAGTGTTCAATGCAACTGCTCTAAAACAAGCCATGTAAAAACTAACATGCAAAGAAAGGTCTGGAAAAATCAAAGCCTACTCCCAACATGTGGCATTTCTGCCTGGGGCTCCACTTCTCTCCAGAAGTTGTGTAATAAAAGGAAGTAGAAAAACATACATCTTTCAGACAGCCTGAACTTTGTCATCATTCCGTAATGTTACATGAAAGAAATAAAAAAACCAGACAGACAGCACAGATTTGCACAAAAAAGGCCATTGGTGATGGGACAGGACAGTCATTCCTGATGCAGGAAAAAAGCCTGAGAGTTCTTTGGACCCTGGAAAGAGGGTTCAAGTCCAGTAATTTATCCTAGAAATTTGTTTATGACTTGTGATCACAAATGCCATAGGCCAATTTCAAGTATAGGTGGTATTTCCTTGCAGCCAGATCTGAGTTTCAAGGGACTCAAAAGAACTTTACATGCAAATCTGAGTTATGTGTGCTGAAGCTGCTACAATAGTCTCCTAATTCTTTTGCTGTGCTGATCCAGTTACACCAGTTACATCTACAACTGCAAGCTTCAATTATATGAGTCAACCAACTTCCTGAACAATTACTGTAAACTAAGTCTTTTTTATAATCCTTAGGTTCAAAGAACTACTTGGCTAATCTTGCATGACATATGTAAAATATCTGGACAAGATTTCTGTGAAAGACATATTAAAACCAGGGGAAAGGACTCATTGGAACACCTCAAGGAGGAAAAAGAAATAATTTAATAATAAAAACCATCAAAGCAGACTGTATGATCCTTATTAGAACAATAAAAATTACCATATAGCTCCTATTAAAACTTCAGCCAGGGAGGTTTCAATGATAAAATCTTTAATGCATGCATTTCTTTAAAAGCATTATTTCATACTGAAAACCAAAGTTAAAAATCTTCAGTGGTTACATATTTCAAAGTATCATGTCGGTAAATAAAACACTTTGGTTAACAATGAACACCATAGTTTTATCAAGAGATAAACAATCTTAAAAACTAAGAGAAAAGGGAATTTAAACTACAATTTAAAATGCAATTCTGAGTGGGATTAACATTTGTATATTTTTTAAAGGTAATTGCTGACTATACTGAAGCCACAATAGGAATAAAATGAAACAGGTTGAGGATGATAGGAAGTGGTCTTTGAGACAAAAAATATTTATTCTTTCATACTAACTGGGGGAAAAAGACACAGAGAAGAATACTCCAGAAGAGAATAGCCTGAAAATGGTACAATTTAAGTTTTGTGTAAGTTAATAACTAACATCATAACATCCTCCTAACATGTTTTACTAGTACACCAGTGTAAGGACTCCACAAGAACAGACATCTTTGTAATTATTTCAAAAAAGCAAAGCTGAGGCTCCAATCTACATACTTATATGATGATGGATGACACAGATGCCCCTATTCCCACCATCTGCTACTATCTCATCACAAGTTGTTGCTCCTTTTGGTTAGTCTTACCTCCTCCCTCAGACTGACACAATCACCTCGTCTCTCTCTCTTTCACACTCACACTTCCTACTAGGTTTAAATAGCTTAACCACATTGGCAGCCAGGAAAATCAGAACCACTTCCCTCAATCTTTGAGCAATGTTTACTTCTGTTTCTGTCTCAAAGCTTTTCTGTATTTTGGTGAGTATTGAATAATCCTGGAGGAAAAAAACTCCAACCACCAAGATGGTTCTTTGCTATGAGTTTACCCAAAGAGGTGAGTTCTATAATATCAAATAACAGCCAGGGCTCTTACTTGCATTATGCTTTTAGAAAGAATAACAGAGTAATAGTAAAAGTGGTTAAAGCAATCCTTTAACATTTAAAAAGCATTTACCCATGGGGCAAATGAAAATCTGGGAAGTGCATGAACTGTGCAAGTCAGCATAATCTATTTTTATTGCTTACTAAAAAAAACACACCTTACACATTAGTATTCTCAAACAAGATGAGGCCATAAATGCCTAAACACAGTATTAAATGAATAAAATAAAGCATTATAACAATTCATAGGATTTTTATAGCCCATCATTACCATGCATAAGTATGTACCAGTCCACTGACTTTATTAAAATCAAGATTCTGGTCTACCACATGCTGTTCTATTGGCACAAAAAGATCATACAGAAGCAACAGATGGGGTAAATACAAAAGCAAAGAAGCTCCATATTGCAGGACAAACCTCTGTAAACAACAACAGGCAAGTCCCTCTGATGGAAGAAATTTCCTGCAAGTGCACAGGTTGGCTTTGGGATGCAGCACCAGCTCACAGCTCTCTTATACATGAGGTCAGATGCCTGTCTATGTGTAAGGCAACTTTCACGGGGAAAGAGGCAATATCTTCTTCTACATAATCCACTATCATTGGAAAAAGAAGGCATTGTTTTCAGAGAAGCTTTGGACTGCCTAAAAATAATGTGGTTTTTCCACAATTTTATCAGCATAGCTTACAAGGATTGAAGGACAAGCTGTCATTTTAGTCACTGCAGTGGGAATTTAGACATACAAAGGATTTTGGGACACTTGTGTTCCCTATCCTCCTTTTTTCCCAGGCCACACATATTGTAATGATTCTCAGATGTCCCTCCTGCCAAACATGAATAAAGATTTCAAACATACATTACTTTGGCATCCTTTCCTAAAGCCAAGTAATTTACATTAGCGAGAAGAATGTGATTTTTATTCTCATTGTTCCTTTATTAACTACAAACTTGCCATTTTCCATTGCCTGCATAATGTTTGGCTGTGATATTAACACTACCCAAAGCTAAACACACTACCGTGTCGTTCACACCCAGGTCACGTACTGGTTCTTTATAAAATGTTAACTTTTCAGAATATTTATACTGTGAACCAAATGCTGACCTTCACAGATTTAAAGTCATGACCACACTCTAGCACAGTTCATTGCTCAGAACTTATGAGGTTATTGGAGTAATCCATTCTGTTGTTCAGTTACAGCTGTAAATTTTTAGCAGCCAGAAAGATCACTGCATTTTGCCCATTTCATACTACAAATTATTATTTTAGCTCATCACTTGCATGATTCCAACTCACAAAAATATAGTTTAGTATTTACTATTGCTTCTTTTTCTTCTTCCTTACCTTCTCATATCCTCCTTTATGTGCAGATTTATTAGTTCTTTAGGAACATGGAAAGAGAGGGTGGTCTCAGCCATCTGTTCCCGGATTCGCATCCACTTGTTGTCAGAAGTAGGGAATCTATATAACTTACAGATTGGGTTTTTTAGCACTGCAGAGAGGAAAAAAAAACATATCATTGCTTTACTGTGGTTATATGACTCTTTGAAAATTTATTACAACAATTTCATGCAAAAGAATACATTATTTCCCCCCTTGCTTAAAGAATTAATTTTAGGACCATTACAATTCTATTAAAAATGTTGAATTTGATTTAATTTTTTATAGCAGCATGTGGAGGACAAAGTAGTACTAGTACAGTAGATAAATCACATTTTATCAGCATAGTAGGCAACCTGTGAATTTAGTATTTCAGTATATATTATACTCTTTTTTTCTTACATTTAAGATACAGTTAAGAGAAACAGAATGCATAAATAAACTATGAACTCATATACAGTCCCCATCATCGCTTATCTGCTGCTAGAATCACTCACATTGCTAATAAATTAAACAGAACAAATGAAGCATGACTCAGAATTTAGCTCTACCTGATGCTTCTTCTCCATGAAATGCACACATAGAAGTCATTAACACAAATAGGATGTGTGCATCTGCATTACAGGAAACCTGGCCATTGACATGGTCATGAGGATGCCATTTTGGAGTTATCTTGATTATTGATGCTGTCAAAGACTGCCACTCCATAGGAGTAAACACATCAGTCCTGTCAATACGTTACACACACTATTCTCAGATCACCATTGTAACTTGACATGGGAAAATCATGTTACTTGGTGTCTTTGAAGATTAAAATAAAAAGCATGGTAGGTTTTAAGCATAAAGTTCTCCCATGTTGGCTACACTTCCATTCAGATCTTACAACGATGCACCGTAACAAAGGCGGGAAATTTCTACTGTTTCCTTTGCTTCTTTTTTTTACACTCCTCTTATTTTCCAGAAAGAACAGATAGGGAAAAAGTTGGGAAAAAAAAAGTAGTTCTATTTGACTACTTTGATATGCTTACTTGGAGACAAATGATTGTCATTTAACACACACATCTGCTGTTTCCTAACACAGAATGACTTTGGACAGCCATCCAAATCCTCCGATGGTACCTCTCTCCAAGCCTCCTGGAAAAAGCTGCCTTACAGCAGGCTCCCATGGTCTATAACTCAAAGGAATGATTTCCCCATGTGGGCAGGAAGGAAACTACTGCGGTCAAAATAACATCTACAGATAGAAATTTCAACTTCACAACTCACTGCCACCATTAATGCTTATGTAGCCTGATTTATAGAGAATTAAAAACACAGACCAAGGCATTAAAGGCACACAAACTGTCCTGTCTGTCCAAGAAAACTTTTAAAGCAGTCCTTTAAGAAACAAGACTAGAGATTCAAAGATAGCTACAATAAACCCGTTGCTAGCAAGTCAAAGAAGGAAATGCCATAAGCAATCATGTTTTGAGTAACTGTAGATGTATTGCTTTCTATTCCCATCCCTCTATTGAGATGTCTTTAATCATTAGTCTGTGATGAAAAACTGGAGGCCTTTTAAGAGTCATTTTGCCTTTAGTCATTAGTGATTTTAGTTTCAAAAATTAAGTTATGACTTACTGTTATGAAATAAGCCAAAAGCTTGATAGCTATGGCAAATGAATAACAGAATTTTTTTTTTTTTTCTAACACCCAAAATACCTCAATGTTCAGCTTGGGAATCCTCTCCGTACAGACTTAACCACTGCCCACCACAAAAAAAGCATCTCAAAGTTCTGTGCCTGCCATCAACTTAGACCCAGTGTCGGGGCTTTATTGTACCACTCGATTAAAATATGCTGCAGTGCATATTCCCTATTTTCCTCCTCTTTTGCTCAGATTCTTCTAATTGGAAAAATCAGTGTTGTCAATAATATTAAGTCTCTATCTATTCACAAAGCAGATATATGGTATCAATAACCAAGACAGGGAATGTAAATTTTCAGATGCCAAGGAGTGCTCAAGAAACTAAGGGATATTTCATGTCTGCCTTAGGTAGAAAACTGCCAAACCAGATGAAAATTTTGGTTTGGGTTTGTTTTTCCTTTGTCTCACCTGCTTAGTAGGAAGGAGGCTGGTACTTTTAAAGAGGACATTTCAAACAATGATTCCACAGACACAAAAGACTCTTTATTTTACTTTTTATATCTACTTCCTATAAAGTTTATCAAAGGACGTTTTTCCAAGAACAGCCCTTACATTTGCACTCAGAGCGTATTACACTGAAAAATTCACATTTATCTGTGGGAACCTAATGCACATATGTAGCTGCACAATCTCTTTCTTCCCATCTCCCCACTTTCACCACCACCACCACGGGAAAAAAACCAAAATGAAACAGAAAACCTGTCAGTACTGCAGCACGATAGCAAGGGAGACCAAAGAACATTCTGAAAATATGGATCCGAAGCTGTGACTTTTATCATGGTTAGAATTATTAAACTACATTTCAAGTACTAGCTGAATTTTCAGGTCTTTGATTCAAGTCTGAATTTTTACATGGGGATAATCTCAAGTGTGTTGTAAGTTTTAAAAAGTGGTCAAAACATCTCTCCATGGCTTTAGGAAGAACATTTCATTTAGAAACTCAGAAAAAAGCCTGGGAATTTTTCACAAGGAATCAAAATAATTCCAATATGCAGTATTGTTAAAGCTTGAGGTTGTCAAGTAAAGTTGCACAATACTTGATGTTTTTCTTATTAACAGATCTACTGGTGCTATGTGATTCCATAAAAATCCCAGAAATATCTTTCTTTCCAATTACAACAATAAGTGCTTTCTAATTACAACAACTTGTCTAGAAAAGAATTCTAGAAGGCATGTAAAACCACCCAAACAGTAAGAATGGCAAGATTACCTTTGTTTTTTATAAAAAATGGTTATTAAAATGAGTGAAGGTTTCATAAAGGTAACTTTCCTGTATTTAGATAATGATCATGAGAGACATTGAAAAAAATGAAATCCACATAAACATCTGTGGTTAAGAAAGAGAAAAGCCTGTTTTAAAAGCCAGTGCCATATATTTAACCACCCATATTTTTACACATTCCTTTTTTAATTTGAAGACCTCTGTGCTTTTTATTCCACGCAATATCCAATAAGAAAAATTTAAAAATAGGAATCTGCTTCCCCATACGTAAAATAATAACAATAATCTGGTTTTATTTTTGTTCCCTATTGAACTTTGATCAAAGCATATCACTGTCATATACTAATTTACCAAGAGTGTTTCTATTTATACCTTCCTTTGTAGCATAGGTGTATTAAGCATATTACTTCAGGAAGAAGAACTGCAGCTCTCTTAATTTTTACTTCATTCCAATTGCTTTTATTCTCCTTTTTATTGTACAGTACAATTTGTTTACATGCAAACAACTGGCAAACTCTCTAGTGTTATAAATAAATAACTGAATTTTGAGACATAAATTCAATCTCTTGGGGTATAAACGGAATAGTGATCAGGCTCTGAAATACACTACTCATTCCCACTCACTCAATAAGCATCGCACAACTCACTTGAGGGCTGCGAGTTCCCTATATTGAGATTTAAATTCCAGAAGAATGCCAATGTGCATCTATGCCTACAGGCTTAAAAGATTCACACAGGGGGTATTTTTTTCAGTTTCATCATTTTGAAGGCCTGATAAACAACAAGAAATGAAAAGTACCAGAAATCTTTACAACAGCATACACACGTACTGAATATATATGCATATGCAATACATGCTGTACTGTGGGTAGCTCTGTATGTACACAGCAGGGAAAATACTGCAGGAAATATTGATGTTATCGGGTTCCCTGACACTTCTATCACATTTCTGCTACTGCTCCTTGCCCTTTAATCCTTGTTTACAGTTGCCTCCGCGTTTGCCACACTGAAATTTGTCTGGCTTAAACTGATTATTTTCTGTTAAGTTTTCAGTTAAGCTGCACAGAATGAAGCCAGAAATTTGCAGTACCAAGTTCTGCACTTTATAAACCTGAATTCTGAGAGTAAGTTTTTTTACAGAGCTGTGCACTTCCCCGTATCTGTGGCAGTGCAGCCAGATCGGACAATGTCATCAGCATGAAATCCCAGTATGTAAAACCTCAAAACTTGAACTAAACATCTCACATGTGCATCAAGGGTTTATTTTTACTGAAAATCCTTACATCCTTCCCAGCTTCTAGTACCAACAAAACTGCACATGTCATTCATAGAGAGTGGAGCAGTACATTTTTGACAGAGACAGTGCGTGCTGCAAGATGCTTAAGGGCAGCACAGGTACCCATATGAGCAACCCAGTCCCCAGGCAACACAGAGAGCTTTAAGTCACATGAAACTCTTTCATGGAGTCATACTGGGGAAGAAGTCTGGTAGGTTGGACAAAGAGGTTGACAGTAGAGTAGGAGAGCTAAAATCTTCTAAGAAAAGAAATTGGGAATTCAGTAAAAAGTGTGGGACTGATAAAACCTGGAACCAGTGCCTGGTGTCAGCAGGAAAGTGGAGGCAATGCTGAGGTGAGAAGAAAAAAAGCCACAAGCACAGGAAACAGACTGAAGAGTAAGTATTTATTAGAACAAACTTCCTGTGACTGCAAACTCTTTCCAATATCCTGCATGCTGTCATTTCTTGCATATGTAGCTGCAATTCTGCTCTTTCCCTTCAATTCTTTACAAAAACCTAAAAAAAACCCAAAACCAACCAACCAACCAAAAAAACACACAAAGAACCCCCTCCATGGTGTATTTGATTTTATGAACCCTAGTAATGTTGGGTGGGAGTTTGGCTTTATATTGTGTGTGTGTATATGAGAACAACAAATGCCAAGTGCTGTCTAGATACACTGTGGAATAACATGGAAATATTCTTGATAAAATGATTTAGACTTCATAATTCATAAAACTGACACATACCTTGGAAATTCCACTAAAATACATTCCCCAAACTACACTATTTCCCCATCTGAAAGAACTCAACAAAAACCCCCAATCAAACACGCACAATGGAGGCAGCAAATAGCAAGAAATCTGTTGTGAATCAGCACCAATTTCTCTGAATAGAAATGTCATTTCTTGAAGACCCACTTATCTGGGTGACATTCGAAATCAGAATCAAAGAACAGCTTCACTGAGTTAGACCAAACTGTTCAACTGGCTCTGTATCTTGTGTCCAAGAAAAGCCATAAATAGATACCTAGAGATGCAAGATACTCTCCCTGCCTCCAGCTATTTCCACTTCAGGAATTTCTGGAGCCAGATGTAGTTTCCAGTACACTCAGTAATTCTCAACTAGCATCTTTTCCACAAACATATCTAGTCTCGCATTGAACTGACGAAAAGAAATAGCAGTTCCGTACAAGAAATTCTTCCCCTGCTTCTGATTGAGTCTCAACAGGTCACAGAAAACAATTACAGCATTCAAACACATATGGAAAAAAATGTTGGAGGTTTATAGAGCTCCCTTTAAACTGAAAACTAGTCTGATAAGTCTGTCCGAACAAAGAAATCCCACGCAAAAGTTTCAGTAGAGGTTCTAAAACTTCAGTCACATTTCTCCTCAGCTGTGTGCAGCAAATACACAGAATTCTTGACAGCACTGTGGTTTCAGATGACCCATATAACTTATTTGTGACACTGTTACTGCAGAGTAATGGAGATTCATAAACTTGGGCTAATAAAACTTTTATGGTGCAGCATATCAGCATGTAATATTTCTCAGTATAATGAAAGAGAAATAGATCCAGTTTAACACCATACACCCAAGCCCAGAGCTGACCTAGAATTGAGAATGCCTTGCCAACAGCTCCCTTCGTTTTAGGACATACAGCTTCCAGATCAAACTGAAATTGCCACTTCATCAGCCATGGGAGAGATTATTTTCCCTGGTATTCAGTTACAAATAATGCACAATTATTTAACAGAATGTCATGCAATGACATGCCAGAAACTTATGAGGTTACTTCCACACCCAAGTGGAAGTGACAGACTTGAAAATCATTGAATGATAAAGATGTAGGAGATGGAAATTTTAGCACCGTTTCAGATAGCATAATTGACATATATTTCCTCATGTTTTACAGTAAAATGATACTGTCAAATATGCATAAAACATTAAAATACTGAACTTAAACATCTGTGCAGCATTTGAAGAGGATTTTACAAGCTCTGACGCAAATCTTTGTGATTTCCTCAGGATCTGACATAGCATTGTAACAGCCATCTTCTACAGGTATTAGAAAACTCACCTGCATTTAATGAAGGCAGGTTGTCTTTCCCACTTATGCCTTCACCGGCCGTACATTCACGAACCAATGCACACTGCAGAAGAAATGCAAGCACAAATGCAGCAAATTCAGCTAAGAAATCCATAGCAGTTTATAAATTGTGGGAAAACCATTACTGATGATGTAACTTCCCAGCCCTTAATTATAATTTACATTTTTGTCTTTATATTTCTGTTCCAATATACTGTAACACAGTCTGAATTACAGCTGAGAAAGTGACAAAATATGATCAGCCATTCCACAATAAAACAAAAAGGTTTCCTAACAGTACAGTGGCAGAAGTGTAGAGAGACACTAGAAGTTGAGCTTAATAAGTATTTGTTTCAAATAAGAATAAATCACTTGGAGTTTAAAAAAAATTTTGACAAGTGTTGTGCTCTCAAAGAGGTTTCTTTAAGCAAGGCAGTTTTCACATGCATAGTGTGAGAAAACACTCCATTAATTTTTAAACAAGGGGAATGTAGGAACCACAAAAAGTCTTCAAAATGTGCTCGCAGTTTGCAATTAAAGTAATTTGTTATACAAGTGAACTGGAAGATTTCTTTGATGTTTTATTGAAGAATCAACCAGTGTACACCTATGTTAAACTCAGTAAGAAGTGTATTTTTAATGGTCCTCCTCTCCCCCAGTTATCAAAAAACCCAGACAGTCTCTAAAGGTAATGGGGAGCTCTGTCCCCAGGGCTTTCCCTGTTTCTAGAAGTTCTGCTGCACAGCTAAAACAGAGAGTAAGACATGAGGTACTCTCTACCAGTCGATATCTGAAATTGAATTTAACCATCACCTTCCCCTTCCATAAGAAATTCCCTGCCCGTAGTTTATCTAATTAGTCAGAAAACCTAGTTCAAAACTTAATTATTTGAAGTCATTCAGTGACTGTGCATTCTCACAATTGCATTCTCACCATGAACATATGACTCTATAATTCAACTAATTTGTAAAAACTAAGGATTCTTTTAAAGACCACAGAAAATACATCTGTCACACGGCTGGTCTTTCTTGACAAGTATTAGAACCCCCTAGAAAGATGCTATTAAAGCCTTCTGCCTCCCCCAGGCTAGACACAGCTCATTAATTACATCTCAAATAATTCTGAGGAGTCTCATTTCACATTTTGAAATGGAAGAAAAGAAAAATGAAAGAGAAGGCAGTAAAATCAGCTCATGTTGCATATCTCATGGAAGTTGTATAGTTCAGAAATATTTCACAGAGTTTTTTGGCTTCTTTGGAACTGGTCCTAATCATTTATTGTTTTAAAAAGGGCATTGAAGTCCTTTGAGATAAATGGTGAAAAAAAAGTGTAAAATCTATCCTCAGAATGTGACCCAAAACCAGACTGGCTTGGGTGAGCAGAGAAGATATAGAAAACAATGTCCTTTTCTCAAAAATACAATTTTATATAATACTTCCAAACAAAAAAATGCAGTTCTTCAGTCTACATCCCCTGTGGCAACATCTTTTTTTTTTTTTTTTTCCCCATGAAGAAGAGAATCCAATATATTGTCCAGCAGTACACCATCGTGCAGGGGCTGCATTCTCTGTCAGTGCAAATGGGGCTGCAGAGACAGGGGTAGCAGGAGGAGGTAATTTTGTACAGGCACATCAGTTGCCATCAGTCAGGGGACCCACTTAAAGACACATGTTTATTAGATGCAAATCATTTACATTCAGAGTTCCACATTGTGAGCATTCATTCCTGTATCTCTTCCAAGCTCAAACCTCTTGTTGTCACCGAGACAATATATGCATTCCACACTTCCTCTGTTGGTTCTCCATTTCTCTCAAACCCACTCCCCCTGTATCTTCTCCAGCTCCAGTCCCCGTTGGTTTTCCCTGCAGCAACCTGCCTACTTCAAAGCTTTTATGATTTTTCTGAGCCCTTCTGTCCTTCCTCTTGTCCCTCACCATGAACACCCTGACCCAGAGTCCCTACATACATCCTCTGGTAAACTCTGCCCTATGCTCTGAGGCACCACTGCAGTGCTGTCCCTCCTGCTGGTTTTCCTCACTGCTGTGTGCTCCCAAAAAACGCAGCTAAAACCTGCCCCTCTGCAAGGGAATTCACCTCTTCTTTGCCTTGCCTGTCATTCTTTCTAGCTTTTCAGTATTGTGGGCACAGGTTGCACACAAAACTCAATGTGAACAGGACTTCCAAGGGCAGAAAACGGAGCAAGGAAAAAAAGTTACATTTACGGCATCTCTATGGACAGTTTTTTGATCAGGAGGGATTAAATACATTCAGCTGAGATCCATAAAAGCTATTTTTTTCCTAAAGAAGGGGAAGGACTAGGAAATTTAGGTTAGAATATTACTCTGTGCATTTTCATGAAAAATTTTTTTTAGTTTAGGGAAATGGTGTACATAGTACTCTACTCCAGAAATTTTTCATTAGGTTGTTAACCCAATATGGAATTAGTACTTTAGACATTTGGCATGGTTGACCATTCTAATTAACTTGTGCAATAAACTGAGTTTCTACCTTTTGATCCTGGGTATCTGTTGTGATGTGGTCTGTTTCCCCATCCTCCAGCTCTCCCATCTTCACAAGATTGACTTCGATGGTACCAACTGCCTTTCCACCATCAGAAGTTCTGGGGGGAAAAAAAAAGCAAACAAACAACCCATGACAAAAAAATCCAACCCAAGCATCAAATTCTTTCAATAAAAATGTTAACAGTAAACATTTATTCCCCTCTCCATTCTGCATAGCTGCAGTCACTTGTATTAAATTCATTACTGGCAATCATAAACCAAATGTTAACAGTGAGGCAAATTCTTTATGGCAATGAAAGTTCTCATCACAAAACTGAGGATGGGTAAGTGCTATAAATGAATCCATGAACACTGCCAAGTTTTCATTCTAGGCATTATTCTGTCTGTGGACCAGCAGAGAAGGGACTGTGACACTGCACCAATACTCCATTTATGACCTGCAATCTCACTGCACAGGACCTCACTTTGTTTCCAAACACAATCTGTGAAGAAAGGAGATACTCAGCATAAATAAAACTCCTGTGAAATCAAAATAATGAAACTAATCTGAACATAACTTTTCCTTTTGTAGTCTTTTTGTAGAGCAATTATTCAGAATCCATCCCATTTCTTGAAATATAAGGGAGATGATAATAAAGTTCCAGGTGAATTCTTTTATTATCATCTCCAAAAATAGTTTATTTCTAATTAAGTAAAAACAAATAGCAATTCAAATTCACATCTCCAAAAAAACAGTATTGCTCACTACCCTTTGGAACAGACAAGGGTTTAAACTTAAAAAGATATTGAATGGTTTCTCAGCTTTTACTGGTAGCAAAGCACCAGGGTTAATGGCACAGTCCATCTCCCCGGGCTTATTCTGAACAGCTAGAATTTTTGAAAGGAAGGAAAGAAGGGTAACAGACCATTTAATAATAGTGAGGAAAGTATAACAACAGGGACCAGGCAAAATAGGCAAAAGGAAATGATGAGGAGAAGTGCATCAGAATTGCAAAAACACAGAGAGGAAGGAGAATCAAAACAAATGTGTTCAGTGCAATATTGCCTATAACCTCAGGAGTGAAAATGAAGAGTGATGAAGCACCACAAAGGAATACATGGAAAAGTGATTAGAAGGCTGGAAATAAAAATGGCAACTTTTAGAAACAGGAATATTAGAAAAAAGTGTTTCCCATAAAAACTGCCACATTCCTAGGGCAATCTGTGCGGCAGGAAAAGAGCAAAATCCCCTTCAACACTGACACCCTTCCAGAACTTCAAAAAATAGTCCTCACATTACTTTAGCAAAGAAGGGGAAATCCCCTAAATATCCTTATACTCATTTCAACAACCAGGAAAAAAACAGTGGTCCAGTGCAGTGCAAACATGGAGGTGCCAGTCCCAGCACAGCCCAATTCCTGCTCCCTCTCCAGCCCTGGGGGTCCGCCAGCAGCACCACACAGACAGGGATTGTCTCCCGCTCTGCATCAGGGCAGGCCCAGCTCAGCTTTCCCGTGCTGCCTTCGGCCACAGGCAGGCTTTCCCAGAGCACTTGTGCCCCAGACAGGAGGACCACGTCTCTGCCCTCAGCTCCCACAATTTTCCATAATCTGTATTTGTGCATGGAGTATGAGGTCTTAATTAAGTCAAAGTACGCCAGTTCTTTACACTGACTAAAGCTAAGCACATATGCTGGTCTTTTCAGGCCTGGATATATATTTAACATGCTAAATCAAAACCTTCATGTCCTACAGTAGAGTCTCAAAAAATGGTTATCCCTAAGCTTCAAATTTACATAATTATTTTGGTTGCAAACAATTAGGAACTCAGTAGAATCCACCTATCTTGCAACTATCCAAATATGTTCTCATGTAAAACCTTGTAAAATAAACGTAATCCTTCATATTTTATGTGTGTCACTCTAAGCCAAATTAATTACTGACAATAAAATACAGGAACAATTAAAATTAACCAATTCCAGACAGCCTTGGAATCAAAGAAGCCTCCATTAATTAAAGTATGTAGAAGAAAACTAAAAGTAGTGTTCAATGTCCAAATGGTGTTTATGAGCAAAAATAAGTAATAATTTTGAAATACATGACAATAACTTAAGTGTCTTCTGAAAGAATAACATTCCCTTGAGTTGCTATAGCTTAGTGGTTTGACTTCATTTGTTTTCTCCTTCTTGTGTCAAACCAGCACACGAACTAGGCTATGCCAACAAATTGACTACAGTTTGCCAAGAAGAAATGGAATAAATAGCTCTTAGCAAAACACATATACCTTTAAAAAATGGAGTAAGTGTGTGGTTAAAAGACTGAAAATTTTTCAACAGCTTAACCGGTCCTGATCAAAGTGTTAAGTGGGCGACTTCATTACCAGGCTGACTTTGTTATGCAATGGGACTTCGCTGCTACAGTGGTCTAAAAGCTAAAACTTGCACTCATTTGGTTTCCAGAAGTAACATCCTACTCATTCTTTTTTCAGGGAACATATTTTTCTAAGGCCAGAGAGACCAGCAAGTCTGAGACTGACCTACATAAAGCAGATCTGGTTTAAAATCACATCAGGGTAAATTAAGAGTATAAACAAATGCTGAGAAAAATGGAGCTCAGTTTGCAAATAAACTGATAAAAGTCAACAGGGTATGTTGCTCCAGCAAAATAAAATAAAAATGGAAATGCTAGTTATGCTTCCTCAGTCCTTGTCTCTTGTCCTTTAGAACACTAAATATTCCCCCTTGCTGCTGTTATTAGAGGCTTGGTCTCAGTATGGCAGCATATTGCCTGCATGAGGAGCAATATGTATTTGGAAGTTTTCTCCATACATGTTTAAAAAACAATGATTGACTTAATTTCACTTTTTTCAATTAATTTCTGAAACATGCCGTATCTTCAAGAGAAGGTAATGCAACAGAATAAAATTAACAGTGGGACTATTGCAGTATAGCTGTACTCCTTCCTTCAGTTCTTATCTTCCCGCATGGAAATATGAAAATATAATTTAAAAAAACCCCAACAAAAAAAAAACCAAA